GAAGCCCAGAAGCGCAAAATATATTAAAATAGCCCTGCATATTTGTGTATTTTATGCCTGAACTTACCCTTGAATAGGGAATGCCTGTAGTGGTATTAAATGCCGGCAACAACCTAAATCCAATGTCTTTGGCCATGTTCAGTAATTCTCCTTCATACCAAGGCATTATGCCATCTCTTTGTTGTAGATAATCTGCTAAAATGTGCGCCGAGAGCAAACCGCTAAAAATATGTGCAAATTAATAAAAAACCGGCAAACTAATAACAGGTCTTTACGCATAAAACTACATATTCAGAAAAACATCTAGGGTAAGGACACTTACCCCAGAACTCGGATATTGGTTTCAAAAACCGAAACAACAACATCGTTATCAAAATTTACGTCTTTAATGATCAACTTCACTGCATGCTCAAATTCTCCCATATCATTTAAAATCACTAAAGTATCTAACGTATCAATTAACGTTAAGGAAAAGCTGAAACAATTAAAACAAATTAAACTTTACAAAACTACTGAAGAATTGATGAAATTTATGATATTTTTATTAGAACTAACGTGTTTCAAGTATTATAGTTAAATGCTTGTTTTTTCCATTTTCAAAGCAGAACGTTTAAAAATTAAGCTTTGTTCAATATACAAAAATATTGTAGGCTTAGATATGTGGTTTAATTCCAGATTCAAAAATGTTATTGGATATTTTGCTCCCGAAAAGTGATGCAAATTTAATTATTTTTGGACAAGATTTTTCACGTTTCAGAAGATTTTTCATTACAGCGAGGAATATCTCATCATGCTCCCTTTGTCAATTATTAAATTAAAGTATGACACCGAAATTTAGAGGTGTTAAATACCGTTTTAAAAAGAATAAATGAAAATTCAATTAATTGGGATTGGACCAGAAGATAAAATCACAAATACACGAAATTATTAGTGCAACAACCAAAGCTTACATTAGTACATATACCATTTATAGAGGAAATAAATATTTTAGACTAAACAAAACTGAATGTTTAGAAGTCGACAGATATGAGATATCCAGATATAAGAGCAAAATCTAGTCTGGAAAACTAATTTTTATCAAATGACTAGTAATTTTTCATTCCTTATAATTCTTTTTAATGTTAGTAAATATCATCATAAATATAAAATATTTTTAAAAGGCATACTCAATTGTCCGGAATAAATTTCTGAATATATTGATTAAAAAAGTGAAAACCAAAACTTTACTATTGAGACGTTCAGTCCGCGTATTAAAAATCTATAATATTTGTCGATTTAGACTTATATACGACTTATAAATACTAATTTGTAAAAAGTTTCTAGTATCTTCAAAGCTCAAAACAACTAACCAACACTAAAAATTTTGTGGGTCTCCTAGGTCGATGTTGTGCCTTTATTTAAGTTTTGGCTCGCGTTTTACACTTTTACCATGTTCTTGCTTCAAATAATTCTTTTAGAGAAAAAATTAAATAGAAACATGTCAAACAGATTTTCTTCGATGTTTTTCATTGGAATAATAAAACTCCCTATTCTGTAACTATTTCAGAAAGTTTATCCAATAAATATGCCAAAAACTAGAAAATGAAATAAACATAAAAAAACCATTTTTAGAGATCCAGATTTCCATTAAACATGGAAAGAACTCTAATTTTATTTACACCGGACTATTTTTTTAGTCTCCAACCATTGTGATTATGTTTTTCTGGTTATAACACGTGAAATGACTAAAGCGATTATCCAAATAATTACATTGCTAGTCAATTTGTGGCAGAAAACCTTTTGCTATTTTCAATAATTCCTACAGGGTCGGAAACATTTTGATAACGTGCATTTAAAAATCAAATAGCTATAAAAATAAATTGCAACCGCCCACAATCATTCTAGATTTGTGTAATTTGTTCGCTCGGTAACATACAACATAATCTAGGTCAAAATTCTGTCAATATTATGTATATTTCAAATTGAATAACAATTAAATGTTCGTAAATTATACGAGGCTCCAACTTCATAATATTAAGCTAATTATTAAGCACAAGCAAAACTAATCCGAATTGGCAACAAAACAACCTTTTAATGAACATCCTAGAAACAATCAGAATCTCCTGAATGATGAGTAAAACATGTAATAATGCTAAAGAGCTAAAAAATGATATAATTGAAATGTTCAGAGTATCAAGATTTGCTCTCCCTGATTGTGTTGTCATCTATTAATTTTTAAACTATATATTTATGCAAATTTTAATTAGAAAAACAAGATATGTATGTATTTGCAAACGTTGTCAGGTGGCTTATGAGCTCTAGGTATAACCGCTGACAGTATATATTGATTACATTTTTCGAATATATTAGATCAAGAGATTAAGACCTAATTTTTCTTGTATAACTAAATTTAGATTCATTATATTCTTTTCCTTCCTGGGTTTCAGTCAAAGTGTGAGATAATTTTATAGAAAATAATCTAATATTTCCCAATTATGAGTTTGTATGAAATTTAAATCTGATGATGGCACTGTTGTCTCGTCGAAACGTTATGAAATAAACGATATAAACATTTTATTTCACACTTTGACTGAAACCCAGGAAGGAAAAGAATATAATAACAATTACACGCAGTTAGTACAATAAATCAAAATTTAGATTCATTGAAGATAAGTGAATCTCTTTTTATCTGTATTTACCCGGGTATATTTTTCAGGTTTTTAATTAATCTAAAAGCAAAAGTGAGTTTCGATTTAACATCCAGCAACAAAACAACCGACGAAGCCATTAGCATTTGCATTCAATTTAAGAACGATAATATGCTACATTTTAATGTTGCAACACATTCATAAAACCGCGGACATTTGAATACTTCAAGTAGGTATAAAGTATAACAACACAGAAAGAAACTGAACATCTTCGTCACGTCCGTAAATCTGTTTTACACAACAAGCAGATCGTCGAAGTCTTGTAATAATATATTACTTAATATTAAAATGCGTATATGAACCATTGAAACTTTAAGGAACCACCAACAATCGTTTGGTTTGTAGTATTGGTATTGGTATCATACCTATTATGTAGACTAATTATGGCTATTTTAGTTAAAGTAATGCATGTACTTTAAACAAATTATCTGTTTTGAAAGTAATATACGTGAGTCCCATTTTTACTTATTTTGCACGTATGCTTTCTAAGCCCATTAACGCGGTGTGTGGCTGGAAAGTAACAACATTTCGTAGCTAACACGACGATAACTTACTTTCCTAAGGCATCATCTATATCTCCTCTATTAGGAGTTAACCCCCTATACCGCCCCTTGCAGCTCAGAGGCATGAGCTCATCAGCTGGATAGGCATTTTCCATATAGGCATTGTATGCATGATAGAACATATCTCTTGCTTCCTCCCTGAAATTAAATTTATTTACAACAATATATTTAGGGCAAACTACACTGTCTTTTAACCTAGATGACTGTTAGAGTTCTAAAACTGGGTCAAAGCCATATAAAATACATATGCAAATAAATAAGCTTAAAACCCTTACCTCAGTAGAGCTCGTTCTTCCCTGGACATGAACTTTACATCTTCGGAACTGCATGATGTGAGACATGAATGATAAACTAGTAGGAAGCAACCAGCAAAGATCCGCACTAGACCGTTTTCAGATTTAAACATTTTAAGAACAACAATATGTGATAGTTATGGTTTCCCACTTAATAACATTATTGATACCTTCTGATTAGATTTATCGTGACCATAAACTTTAAAATGATAAGCTTTTATCAGAATGCGAGGTATATTTTGATAATTTTTTCAAATTGAATTGTTTTTAAAATGAAAAAAGTAAGCTAAATGTTGGGTTTGATGCTGAGCAGCATACCACAACAATCAACAATTAATAACTTTGGAATTAGTTAAATTGATGTAAAAGTTTACCCATCTGTTTTTGACGTTGTGACACATATATTCTAACCTAACAACCTGCAACATACGACGAATTTTTCTATTGGTCAAAAATGAAGTTTAATGATGACACTTAGTTAAATTCACGTGCCCTTAAGATGGCAGTAGGAGGGTTAACCACGCCTTGTTTGAGGACAGAAACAGAAGTGAATCAAAAGAAAATACTGCAAGTGCAACTGTTTAATTTTTAATCGGCATAAGTATACACAAGCGCGTATTTAAAGGAAAACAATTCAATTAATTACATTCACTTATAATAACTAAAATAGGCCAAGTGCAAAACTACAAAAACAAAATCCTGAAAACTTCCAATAAGCTTAATAATAATTTTCGTGTGTATAAAAGTTATTATATTGTAATTTCCGTCATCACTAATATTGTTAAACATCAGAGTCATCTTCCCTTTTCCTCTTCAAAGGGTTTTCCCCCAGGTGCATAAGACCTGATGAGCCTGGGCTAGCTATCTGTACATTTTGAGTAATTTGAATTTTCGGTTTCAGCACGGTTGGCACTGGATTGCCGCTAATTTTCATCGTAGGTTTCGGAATACCGACGTTTTGTCGTACTATTGTAGGATTTTGCTTCCTTACAAAACTAATATTCGACTTCGAGGACATTTTGAAACCTGGAGAAGCTGAAAATTGACACCGTTCAAACAACTCAATTAAATTCTAATTTTTGTTTTCTTACCTGATACAAAATTTCCTTTCGCGGGGAGCCTTTTTTGGCTAGTCTTCAACGTGTAATTGCAGGAGGCCAAGCAATGACGGTCCGGGGGCAACCGCAGTCCACAATGAGGCTTTACTGTAGGTAGGGGTGAGTAATTTTTAACTGATGCACACTCAAGAACAACCTTAAATGAAAAGCAAATTGAGCGTCACAAAATAGAAATCACTGCTTGAGGTTCTAGATGTGATTTTAATTCATAATCAGTCTGTCTGATGTGAAGAAATATGTTAATAGTCTGGCTATAACAAAAGGAAAAAGTAATGCAAAACCGACATGTTTTAACGCATATTGCTCGTAAGACACCTACACCTACTAGGAATAGTCCCGAATATCCACAATGTACAACGGGGGAGGGAACATAATTTCACCTATTATGAGTTTGCCATCACTGATTGTCTATTACCGGGCGTACTACTACTACTTTACTGATAATTCTCCTACGTGTTTAAGCTCCGGATTGGAAACAGAACAAAATAGATTCCAAGTAGTGCCTTAAAATTTCGCGGTAAAGAGTTGGGCTCAAAAGGAAAACGTATACTAACCTCCCTAGGTGGTGGCGTGGTAAAAGTAGATTCTGCAGAAAATTTAATCGCTAGTCGAATATCGTCAACATCGATAGTTTTCTTGCTTGAATTATTGGCATACATTCGAGCCTCTTGTAATATAGAGGAGGCATACCGGTAGACAAACTCGGTTAATTGAACTATGGTTTTGGGCTCGTACTCTGTTATTCCCATTTCTTTCATTATGGCCAAAATCACTTGTCCATCCTTTGGCATGTTCTTGGGCTGGGACATCTTACCCTTATCTGACTTTTCCTTTTCACTCATGGTGCCTTCTTCAATTATTAATCAATATTTGTATTTGGCAATCCTTTACAATACAATCTGGTACTAAGACTATGCTCACCTTATATGCTTTGCCGATTAAGACTATGCTCACCTTATAGAAAATCTCCAAACAAACAACCACAGACTACATAATATTACTTGCAAATAACGGTAATTTATTAGGTTATGTTATGTGATATGCATGTTATCTGTTAGTGGATATAATAACAGAGAGAAGAGATAGTCTCCTTGTCTCTAATAATAACGCCATAAAACAAAAAAGACGAAATTGATATAGTTAATAGCAAATAGCTTAACACTATGTTAATCTCATCAGTATCTCACTCACACACGTTAAGTATGTAATTTACAGCAAATAATGTATTCATTTAATAAAATAAAATAAATTAAACCAGAAACGAACGTTCACCGTCAGCAAATTATGAAATATGAGACATTTTTAAATCAGAATTATCAATTAATCAAATATCAAATATTATTATAAAATAGCAAAAATACAATTTGATAATTAAGTATTTATAAATATTGAAATAATTATTTTTAATAAGTTTTTTACTAAAATCCAGCATTTCAGTTCAAATTGAATACAATAAAGAAAACTTTTTGCAATCAAACCCCTGAATTATAAAAATGTTTGATTTAATTTAATTTTTATTTTTCACCAGGAAAATTTACAGATTCCTATAATATTGTTAAATGGTCGCCAACACGCCAATGAGCAAAACTCGTCTAGGCAGAAGTAAGAGTGAGATGAATAGATTCTCCGTTAATTGAAATTCTGACAATTATAAATAATAATTCGTTCTACAGCAATTAGGAATTGTTTTTTCACTAGTATAGTTAGTCAAATTGTGCATTAGATGCAAACTTCTTGTGGTATTAGCATTATTTATTATCGATCGGCGCAAGATGTACGGGCAAATACCCGTGCTAAAAAGAGAAGAATAGAGTTGCGATGTCGTAGAAGCGTAGACAGCAGTCAATGAACAATGGTGCTGCCCCCTACAATGTCAAATTGTTAGGCTTACAAATGGAGTCTAATGGAGGCGATTTAATTAAAATAGTTGGAAAATCACCATAAAATGATGAGAAAACCGAAGCAAATGGTAAAGAACGATTTATTTTTAGTGAGGATTTGTTCGGGTCGTTTTGAAACAGTGAGTGTATGACTAAATATCATCAAAACGTATATGTTTACAATTCGGACATGGGAGCCACCTCTGCTATTTGACAATCTACTTTTTGCAGTTATTTACCTATTTTATTTATATTTTGCCTCCAAAACATTGTAAATTTGGATTCTGCTAGTGTTCAGAGGCATAACGGCTTTGTGGGAAATATGGAAACCCATTAGAAACACCACTTTTACATTGTGCATATAGCGTATGCAAGAAATTTTGTGTTTTTAATTATTGCAGCATTCAGTGGTTCTAAAAAAGCTGTCTGTAATGGTTTGCCACAATTAATATGAACCTTTGATAAACTAAGGTATATTTTGGTCAGATTTCAGATTAGTGACTAAAGAAGTACGTTTTCAATTTTGTAGAAAGTTGATACATGGTAATCCCGTACACTTCAGTATTTTAAAACTATGTAGTAAGTATAGTATTTGACTATAAAGTATGATTTTTATTTTCGCTCACATTCAGAATGTGAATGAATGCAGAGACTAATAAAACCATTTTGGATGTGCGTCCAGATTAACGTAAATGCAGCATTCACAATTCAATTAGTTGTTACATTACATATCAATGCAATGTATTTCCACTTCTATTGATGTGATGTGATACTTGTGTGCCATTGTATACGTGCTAGCAACGTTTGATATGTGGTTCTAATTCACAAATATGTCGCTCATTATTTGCTGTTACCCTAAACACCTGCTTTGATATGCACCGATCTTAAGAACATCAAGCCATGACCTCGAATAAATTGTGCACATCCATAAAGGCTTGATTGATCTGCATTCAGTATTTGTTAAAGGCGAAAATGCTTTTGCACTTTTAATCTGCGCCCTTTTGGTCAAGTTTCACTAATGAACATGACCCTTTTAACTGCTGTTCAGGTTTAATTCAGGTGCAAGTCGTCCTCATGCTCTATTGAAGAGATATACGTGTATAACGATGTGTTGATCTTCATTTTAAATTATAAAGTATGTTGAAGTTTGAAAAAATGGCTTGAATTTGGAGCACTGATACTGCTACTTATCATTTATTATTTCAAAATCTATCGATGGTCTTTCAAGGTTAGCTTGCATTTACTCCTACCTTTTACATAAGTAGTGACTAATTTATTTACTTGTTATCGAATTTTCATTACTTGGATGATAATAATACAATTAAAGAGCGCTCGGACAATAATGTGATCTTATTATTTCCGAAATTAGTTTTTACTAGCTGTTTAGTTTAGTTTTAATTTGTAGTTATTAAATATTTCTTATTTTCATTTCCAGGTCTCATAGGCGAAACATTCTTTGTCCTATTGAAGTGAGATGTCACAGAGAGCAAAGAGGCCTAATCGATCTGAGGATGGCTCTGTCCCTGTTAAAAGGCGCAAAGTAGGTCAATTTTCCAAATAGTTTAACTTGTTTAACTTAGGAAAATCAATTTTTTTATAATTTTTCCCATTCATACAATTTCAATTTATTAATGTTTGAATATCTGGTATATCGACTTTTCTTGCTTACATTCTATCACAAGAATTTGATCCGGAAGTCTTAAGCTATTTTTTAGCTACATATTGAAAAAGTATCTAAAATTGAATTTTAATGGCAAACAAAATATGCAACAATGTTAAAAGAAGATGGTAATATCATCAAGTAAACGGTTGCAGCGCGTTTGAATATATATCATTTTGGATAATTGTTTACAATTAACCAACTGTTTTTCTTTAAGTAATGTTGAAGGTATGTTAAATTCCTCTTTCTCCAGCGGACGGCGACCGAGGAAGAGGAGGCGGCCTCCCTGGCCGCAGCACAAGCATCCCAAGGATCTTGGCAACCCCGTGCTAGTGACCTCAAAACTATATACAATCGAACTACGACTGAGGCTCCGGCTGAACTCTTTCGTAAAGATCTGATTAGGTAAGCAGAAAACAGAGATTTACTTGTAATACACTATTTATTAAGAACCAGTTGAATCTACTATTTGACCAAATAGCAGATCTACTAAAGTAAATGTTTAAAATGCAGATATTACTGGTAATAAATGATAAGTGTAAAGGTAGTTTTAAATATGGTTTTTTGATGTTATTGACGGTCTTATGGTGAAAGCAAACATAAATGCACAGTAGGTATGACGTTTCAGCTCGTTTGGTCTGCGGTTTGTCTATATTATATTATCATTATGCGTTCTTTATTCACATTCTCCATTATTCTAAGGGATTTAAAATTTTCACTTCAGAATTCAATTTTTATTAATGGTAAACCTCAGTTTAATTTTCTTAATTTGCTGTTTTGGAAAATAATTATATATCTAATTTTACGCCTAAAATGGCTAAGCGAAACGTCAAAACAATTTTCTTTTGTATGTTGTAAATAGCTATGTGCTTTATTTCAATGTCTTGTAGCTAATATTTTTTTGTTCTCTCAGTGCCATGAAATTGCCAGATTCTGAACCTCTGGCTCAAGATGAATACTGGATAATTATAGACCAGTGGAAGCAAGAGTGGGAGCGAGGAGTTCAAGTACCGGTTAATCCTGATTCACTACCAGAACCATCTGTTTGTGTGACCAGGACTAGACCCTACAAGATCCAAAAAGATTTTAAACTGTAAGCATTTTTTAATCGGTACAGTTTATTGGTTTTTAATTTAGCAACATCAAGCAGATGCAAGCAAAAAATAGACCCTTCAATTATTTTTAACAATACTAATTATTAATGAACCCGGCAAGATAATAATTACTGTAAAACAAATCTAATAAATTGTCAATTTTTTACTTGTACTAGGAGGGGTCAAGTCAACTACTACTACTAAATAACATAATATCTGCAACAATTAAACTACTATCTAAAACCAAAATACGTTTTGAACAAATTGCGAATAGCATCCACACCAGCTAAAATAAAATGCGAAACATTAATTTACACAATTTTATGTTGCAGGCCCAAGAACAAATACATTCGAATAACCAAGGACGACAATTTTGACGGGGAGAGTCACGCCTTTTCAAACGCTCCAGCTCAAGCAGAAGCCGCTTGTTCTTATGACTTGGATGAATTTGATGTGTCTTGGCTCCGCATATTGAATGCGGAACGAGCTTCATGTGGTTTAAACTCAATATCGGAAGATCAGCTGGAAAGAGTTATTGAGAGACTTGAACTGTGTTGTTGGGACAAAATACAATCCATTTTGAGAAACGAGGAAGGTCTAGGAATTGAATATGACGAAAACGTTATATGCGATGTCTGTAGATCGCCCGATTCCGAAGATGGAAATGAAATGGTATTTTGTGACAGTTGCAATATTTGTGTACACCAGGCGTGCTATGGAATTACGAAAATACCTGAAGGTCAATGGCTGTGCTGTACTTGCTATATTGGCAAAAGGCCCGATTGCATGTTGTGTCCGAATAAAGGGGGAGCGATGAAATCAACCCGCACGGGATATAAATGGGCTCACGTATCTTGTGCACTTTGGATACCTGAAGTCAGTATTGGTTGTGTAGAAAAAATGGAACCCATCACAAAGATCTCAAGTATTCCTTCCAGCCGATGGGCGCTAATATGCGTACTTTGCCGCGAACGAAGAGGTGCGTGCATTCAGTGTTCAGTGAAAACGTGCAAGACTGCGTATCATGTAACGTGCGCTTTTAAACATGGACTAGAAATGCGTGCTATCATTGAAGACGAAAACGCTGATGACGGAGTCAAGCTTAGATCGTACTGCGAAAAACACAGTAAATCTAGTAAGAAAAGTGAAAAAAGTGTGTGCTCAGGATCTGAAGACGATGATTCAAAAAGGAAGAAACGGAAAGACATGACAAACGAAGAAAAGAATCAAGCTAGGGCTGCAAGGTTGCAAGAAATAGAGGCCGAATTTTTCAAACATGTGACAGTAAAAGATATTAATGTGCATATCGAAGTAGACCACGAAGGATTGGTGTCCATCTATAATTACTGGAAGTTGAAGAGGAAAGCCGGCAGTAATAAACCGCTTTTACCGCCGAAATCTGAGGACGTCGATGTCTTATCCCATAAAAGAGAACAAGCAGACCTGGAAAAGATGAAAATGTTTGTTCAACTTCGCCAGGACTTAGAACGGGTTCGAAATTTGTGCTACATGGTGAGTAGAAGAGAAAAATTAAGGCGCACCTTTTTCCGATTGAGAGAACAAACGTTTTATATGCAAGCCACATTATTGCAGAATTCCGCAGATACTTTACCAAACACTGTTACTCAGGCTGTGATGGAGGCGAATCATGGCCCTTCCATTTATGACCGCTTATACTCTCATAATGAAGCTGAAGATCATACTTTAGATTTCGAAGTGAATTTAGCTAGAATAGCTGGAGTTAAGTCGCCTTTACACTCAGGGGATGAACAAAAATCAGATGCAAATGGACTTTTACGTGATTTAAATCCTTATAAAAAAGTCTATTTAAATGGGTCTTCCAAAAGGAGAAGTGCCAGCTTATATGGTAGCAGTTTATCAAGCGCTGAAAGCAGCGATGAAAAACCTAAGAATGCTAAAGAAGGTCAGCGTAGAAGTAGTTCCGAAGATGATAAACGATCACATAAAAGAAAAACAGCTTTGCCTAAAAAACAAAATCCAAGGAAAAAACGAGTTATATCGAGAAGTAAAATTGACAGTAGTAGTGAAGATGAATCACATCCAGTGAGCACAGAAAAATCGACACGTTCCCGTTTGGGACAGATAGCTAGCGAGCTTGGTGATACCGGGAGTGAAAGCGACGAATTATTACCAATAAAACCTACTCGTAAATGTGACAGTCAAAAGAATATGTCGTCAATATACTCAGATAGTGAAAGTTCTGATGTGTCAATGAAAAATGATGACAAATCCTCAAACACAACAAATGATCCGCAGAGCACACTCAGAACTAAAGCGGCTGTGAAAGAGTTTGCCAATAAACCTGGTAGTTCCAGAACCTCCAACAATAAGTCTAGTTCGGAACAGTTGAAGAAAAAACCGAAGCTAGATGAAAAATTAACGAAAAGGACGGATTATGTTCAGTCAGATCTCATAGTGCCACAAAGGCAAGCAGCGAAGAAAGCCTCGGAAAATCTGAAACTGACAAATCGCTCTAAAGAATTGCATACGATGCTCAATCAGTTGGAGGATCCCAGTCCGCTAAGATCAGATGACAAAGAGAGGAAAGAGGTGAGGGTAAAGTCGAAAGGTAAATCCCCCAGGGAGATACCGAGGGACAAACTAGAAAACGAACCTAAGGAAAAAGATAAAAAGAAGGAGCACAAGCAAACCACTCCAGATCAATCTAATAGAGAAGTTGACAGTCAAGATCTATTGGCATTTGTTCCACAGAGGCAAGCGGCTAAGAAGGCAGCGGAGCACATCAAAAGTGGAATGGGAAAAACGGTTCCCGTTGTATCTTCTGATATAAATCCGCTGTCGGAAAGCGTAAGAAAAGATGCACATGAGACAAACGCAAAGGCGAAAAAGGATGTTGAAGCCAAACCAAAACCGGAAAATAACAAGAAAGAAGCGGAAATACCTAAACCACCAACTAAAGTTCATGAAGCGAAGAGAAAGGCATCAATGCAGTCTGCCAACTCGTCGAGCAGTTCATCATCTTCTTCGAGTAGTTCGTCGGATTCAGATACTACTTCCAGTTCAGACAGCGAATGTGAACCACAGCCGGAGAAACAGACTACTTCTCAATCGCAGTCGGAGGGCGTATCTTCGGTGATTTCGCCTCGAGAAACGGCTAAGCGAAGTATTCACGCCAAGGACTGGCCCTTTCTTGACAAGGGACCCCGTCCAACGGCGTCCTCATCTTCCTCTTCCGACTCGAGCGATTCCAGTGCACCTTCAACGCCTCGCAAAGTTTCCTCAACGCCGCCAAAAGCGTCATCCCCGTCAACGGCATGGAAACCCTCCTCGGTTGCGGAGAGAAAACCGTCCCCTGCGCCAATTAAGAAACCCCCAGTCACTGCATCTAGAAAACCCTCCCCTACTGCAGCCAGAAAAACATCTCCTGTCTCGGCTAGACAGCCGTCTCCAGTTAGAAAGAAACCAAACTCTTTCGTTAGAAAACCGTCACCTTCACCACCAAAAATGTCATCTGCGTCGCAGCCAAAAACCGCCAAATCACAGAATGCAGACAATTCAACACGGAACAGAAAACCCAGTTCCGATAAAGCTGCGCCGCCTGTTAAAAGAGAGGAATCGGCACGTCGAGGGCGAGGACGAGCTCAACGAAACCGATCTACCCGCTGTTCACAATCCTCCAGTGATCGAGTCGGAGAAGTTAATGCTCGGACAAGAGATCTGTTTGATGACCAGCGTGTCAGTATGGAAAGAGAGCAACCTAAAGACAATCGCAAGACAAAATCAAGCCTTAGTAGTACATATTCAAAAGTTGAAGAAATTTCCAAAACCGATGTCAAGCTATTCCCTCCGCTCAATAAGGCGGACAAGAAGCTAAAGGAAAACTTTTCCGAGTTAAGTCACAACGAGATTGATTTGGAACGGGAAATTAGGGAGCGAAAAGCTGATAAAGAAAAGGACGGGTACGCAAAGTCAATATCCACACTTGACCGACTATTTGGAACACCAAATAAGAAAGCTCTTGGATCAACTATCGTCAAAGAACAACCGCTGAAAACAGTGGAAGAACATCAAAATCTTCGGGCAGATGTTAAAGTGAAGAACAGCAGAAGAGACAAGGTATTGGAAAAGTCTGTAGAGCCACATCACGACTTCAATAAAGTGGAGCATTTAATGAAGTCGCCAAATAAAGAGCTGAAGGAACACATTGAAGACTCACAAGTATCAGACAAGTTCTCTATAAACAGAAAATCTCCCTCGAAGTCCAAAATTCTTGAAAAATGCATGTCTGGTGACACAAAAGAAAATATTAACGAACTTGGATTATCTTCACATAAAGATACAAATATTCGTGACGAGATCTGTACAGCAGATAAAATTGTTGAAGATCATTTACAATCACAAAAATTGAAGGACTATGATACACAGATTGAATCGAGAGCACAATGCGTAATTCCTTCGTATAGTTTGGATGTTAACAGGACAGAGCTTAATGATTATGATCGAGAAACTACTAATGCGACTAAATCACTCGAAGCGCTCGAAGCTAAGCCAATGTTTTCTCCGCCTTCACAGACGAAAGAACCAGATTTATTAGATTTTGTGAATTTCGATGATAGTTTTGAACTAACTAAGGAAGATATGTTGAAAGGACCCATTCCATTCGCCTTTAATAATTCATCTATTGGAGAAGATACCAAAGAAGACAGTGCAAGAGAAACATTAAATTTGGTAGAGAAACTTCGAATGGGATTAACTAAAAAGTCGACTGGAGGAGATACTGATGATGGAGGAACTAGCAATGATGTAGAAAGCGATAAAGGAGAACACATGGAACAGGTGGTTCCTGATAATACCATTTCTGCAGTGGTGATACCAGAAACGGTTAATCGAGACCTTGCTATTATGAATACGAACAATTTCTGCAATCAAATTCCAAAAGAAATTGACAACATGCAATCGAATCATATTGGTCAGCCACCACACTTTTCCCTTCCAAATTCACTTCCACCCAATTCTACAGATTGCTTGAAGACTGTTTATCCTACGGCAAATCAAGAAACTCTTGAACCAAATGCTGCTTTAGGTAATGAACGATGGGTGCCACCTAATGGAAATTATTCTTATCTGCACTCTAATTCGTATATGAACGATCCGCAATTTCTACATCAAGGTAACATGCATCAAGCATCTCAACTATTGGAAGAGATTCAGGAGCCTTTAACCTCTAATCCATTAGTTGCACCACAACAAACTCCGATAAAAGAGTCACCGTTACCAGATCCAAGAATATTACAAACACCAATGTCGATAGACTGCATGCCCAGTCCATCACCTTACCCCGATATTCATCCACAAGCCAAATGGGCTGATAGCGCAGTTATGCCCAGTCGGAGATCTTCTAGTTCCAGTGAAAGCTCCAGCTCAAGTTCGAAAAGAGAGGAAGACGAGTCCAAAGTGCAACCAAATGCGAGAATTGGCAATCATTCTTCATCGGAAATGGGTTCATTCATACATTGCCAACTGCCATATCCACAGAATCATTTGGATAACTTTGGTAGTTTTCCGGATCCTTCTATTGTGCCAGTCAGTTTATTTCCACCACCAAAAGTCAACCCGCAGATATCATTTACACCTACAGGATCTACTGGTGTATTTCCTCCTGCATTTGGAGCACCATTCCCCACGCCATCATGCACAGCTCTTACCAAACCTGTGGAAGATTCGATTCCATATTCTGCAGCTTTCACGTCATCTGAGCATAATATGGCATTCACTGCAGCCATGGTTAACATTCCTACTTCCGTTGGACCAGCTGATGAACAAGCCATGGAACCATCCAAGCCTGAACCAATCGCAGATATTCCCGCTCCAAGTAGTAAAGCGTCGATAGAAGAAGTGGTACCATCTTCATTAGCCAGCAGTGATGTCCCGCCGGTATCTGCTACTTTACCATCTCCAAATACAACCGTTAAAAGTGCAGGTATGTTGAACATTTCAGACAAGTAATTTGATTGTTGCTGTAAAACTGATGTCGCTTATAAACGGAAATTTTCTGCAAACATTTACTATATCATAGAGCACAAAAGTAATAATTTGCTTTCTTTTATTTTTGAATCTAACTTAGCCATTTTTGCACCGAAACGCCTTGCTCTAATTAGATTGTAATTATAAAGGCAAGAATTATCAAAGAAGCAATTAAATCAAGAAACATTGGATAGCCGGAGGCTTAGTCTGATTTAATATATCTTGCCTCAAATGAGTCAATTTATTGGTCAAATTAAGTGCCGGTAGTGTCCTCAAAACTTAATAGTTCGATCGAAAGTATTTTTAGAAATCAGTATTCAGTTTCTGAATATTTGTTCTTAGCATTTTGTATGGACACTTTTGATTTAAAATTATAGAATGTTGTTCCTTTTTTCCAGGAGTTAAACAGAGTGTTTTATAGCGACGTGCAAATATTTTACGGGAATGGGAAGGCTATTTTAAAGAATACTCTTTTAGTTTTTCCGCGGAAATTTTCGATCTGAATTATGAGCAAAGAAGTTCTATGTTTTTATATCGTAATTCTCCCAAACAACTTAGAAATGTGTAGTTTTGTACACACTAACAACCTTTTGAATGAAATAACTTTCTCCCAGAATTGTTTTTCATTATAGGAAAATTCAACGGAAAATAAAGCCTTTTAACGCTACATTTTGTTTAAAAGCCCATCATAAAGGTGTTTAATTTGCGATTATCATTTTTTATTTTGAATATTTTAACATCAAATTACTCAATAATTATCGGTTTTAGTTTATTAAAATAATCTAAGAACGCCCTTAATATTGAATTATCGCCCTATTTGAACATGACCACGAAACAGCCTGTAAACGATCACGATATAGAAAGCAAACTGCATTTTTTTCCGCTGTGTTGTGTTTTTGTCATCATATTCAATGTTTGGATTTCTCTTAATTCTGTTTAATTTGGTTTTTTATAGGGAAAAACTTCGTAAGTACATAAAAAGTGTTTATAATCTTTGGGGACTTACATTTGTAGTAAATACAGGGCGTTTTATTTAAAATAAGCAATTCGACGTCTGCTTCCATTGTGTTTCCCCGAAAATTGCCAATTAACTTTAGATTAAAATTCAAGACGGTAAATAATTAGATGATTCTGAATGTTCAATTTTTTTTTCATAATAGCAACACTAATATAACTAAATTCTTCATTTGTCTTTACGTAAACGCAAAATAGTAATCTTGAAGAGGGTTTTAAGAGGCAAATGTTTTCTCTCGTAATAATAAAATGGAAATATTTCCAAAACCGTTTGAGATAGGGATGAAAGTTCGTACATAAAACGTGTTTAGAATCTCTAGGAGAAGTTAAATTTATAGTAATATACACGGCGTTCCATTTAAAATTAGCAATTTGACATCTACTTCCAATGTGCGTCCTCAAAGTGAGTAAGCGGGTTTTTACCATGATTTGAAAATTTAGGAATTTAGGAATTACTAGTTACTACTTAAAACTCTATTTTTAGGCTTACGAATATCAGTCGTATACATTAGAAAATGCTGAAACTACTTTGGCATGCAAAAATTCTTCAAAAATAAAACTCTTGTTGTTCAAAATGATCTTGGAAAGCATAAATCGAAACCAAACATAACGATGCATTTTTTGCCAGATGTAAATAAAACAAACATAAAAGTTTTTCACAGAAAAGTTATAACTATTCAGATTAAGATTTAATATTATAAATAATTACGCCGCACTGAATGTGCAAGTTTGTTATTAGTCTTTTCCGTTTTCAAAGTCGCATTCTAAAAATTATGATTCAAAGGTATTTCTTACTTGTATAGGAAGTACTGCCCTGTCGCATGTGTAATAAATTTTGATCCATATATTCGGGATATTGTATTTATGTAAAATTAAATTGATAATGCCAAGATAGTATAACTTTTAAACTTTCACAGGTAAAAAATCGCCTAGTAAACCAACCAGAACGTCAGCGCGGGTCACTTTGCAAATGATGAACAAATCTCCTGCGAAAAGTCCAGGAAAAAGCCCCCGGCAGGAGCCGTATCAACGACAAAGTGGATCAGGCAGAGGAAAAGGCGAAAGTAGAAGGGGTTCAGGCAAATCTGGATTGTCCAAGTCACAGATCTCATCGAGAGGTAGAGGTCGAGGTAAAGGTCGGGGCCGAGGTGCACATCATAACGATTTTGATTTCATCAATGCAAACACCATACATAACAAATTAGTAGGAACAGTGTATGATCTCGATTTCGATGACGACATATGTAACGAGAATATGGCGGATCTGAAGTCAATGAGAGAAAGAAGAAAATCTGTTGACATCCATGAGAAAAAGTTCGATTCGTTTTCTTCTCCGAGGTCGCCGAAATTCTCTAGCCCGAAAAACCGATTTACTGATTTGCGGGATTTGAAACCTCCCAGTCCACGCGAAGACAGTCGTTTGAAAGTTGACCTTGTTGCTCTTGGCAATCAACCGGCGGTTCCATTTCCGGATGTTGCTCCGCTCTTACCGGGACCAGTTGATATGAGGACTTACAATAGTGGATCGAGCAGTGATTTCAATCAACCTCGCTATAGCGAGCAAAACTTATTGAACTCATTCGATTCTGGCGCAGCAGAGGCTCAAGCGCATGAAGAGCTCGATAAAGACTTTGAAAAAGAACTGCAGACAGCACTAACCATAAACAAAGTTGAAGAACTCCCAGTGTCGGTTTCAGAATTCGTCAGAAACAATAACAGCAATATGAAAGTGTCGTTATCGGATTCCCGAAACCAGCTTAAGGTGAAAATCAAGGGACCAATTGCTAATTATACTTTTCCTGTTACGCCTTTACCACCACCTGCGATTGATAATGTTGCCAACATAACAGCGAATGCTTCAAACAACATCGTTGGCAATATACCTATTGGAATATCGACAGGGGGAACTTCCAGTTTGAGACGAATGCGCAAAAAAGAGCTTCTCAGACAGTACTGCACGCAAGATATGAACATGGATGATCCATCAAGTATGTGCAGTTTTAGCGTAATCCCACAGGCAGTGATCCCAGTAAATCGGACATCAATTACCATTCCAAAGGCCGTCGCATCAATGACTAGTATTCCAACTAAGGACGATTATCGAGATTATCGAACTGATGATCTCCATGAGAGCAAATACCATAAAAAATCTCGCGGGCTATCAAGGGAGCTGAAACAATTGGACATGGTTGACGATCTGAGCCATAGAAGACGTGGTTCAGCTGGTAGTAATGCATCGATCCCTGCCGACGCCGTCAAGCATAAAACCAGAGGACGGCCAGCTAGAAACTCGCAAGCTACTCCAAAGTTGAAAATCAAACTGGGAGCTACCAATAGTATAGTTCCAGAAGAGAAAAGCGACGAGCCTAGTGCGAGGCCGCCCAAGAAGCGTCTGGCCACTATGTCGAAACCTTCTGTCGAAGATCTGAAACGCGACAGCATGAAATTCCGAAAACAAATCATGGCAGACTTGAAGGTGATGGGGAAGAAGCGTGACAAAAACGACAAACACAAAAAGAAAGATCGCAAAAAGTCGGGACCGAAAGTGCAAATAATATCAGCTGAAACAACACCAACCAAGATGATATTTCGATTCGAAAAATCCAAACGGCGAGTTGATAAAGTGCGGACTAGTTGTGATATTAATAATGAAAAAGACGTACGGACTAAGGACTCAAAAGAGCCTCCAGTTGACGAGAATACATTTCCTAAAATTACTCCAATCAAACTGAAAATTTCTAGGTGTGGTGAAGGTTCTGGTTATATTATGAAACCTCCATCGGAAACAGATTCCGCGAAAATGGAAGATCAAACGTCACAACCTGGTCAGCCCCCTCCTGTACCGGCGGAACCGGATCCTTTAGAGGGTCTTCCCAACGCCCTTCAACAAGCACCTCCACCTTTACCACTCAATAAAGACTGTGAGGTTAGGTGATAATTGTGTAATAAAACATATTTAGTTAGCAAAGGAAACGGGCAATTGTGGCGATTGCCCATCAGGCGATGTACCTGAGCTAAATTAGAGCAATTGTTCTTAAAACATCACTGTGCAGGGTTTGGGACCCGTTCTTGAGATTATGTGGTAAGACATACATTGTGAGAGTATGACAACGTGCGCATATGGTTGTGAGTTGTTCGGTTTAGTCTGCTTTTAATATTTCCACTTTTCGAAAATTCACTTGTGCATGATTCTTTTAGTGGAAAACTTTTTACTTTTTGAATGATCTTAGCTGATTGAATGATAGATATTCAACTATAATTTTACATATACCATTTTTAATCTGTAACATTGTCTACTTTATCTGAAACCTTGATGTAATAAAGATATGTTGAGGCATATTTTCTCAAAGCCATAGTTGACACAAAGTAATAACTGTTTTTTTTTTATTGATCATATTTTGATAGTTGTACAAATTACCCGTCATGAAATTGTATTGTGGAATTGAATTTGAATTAATTCATTAATTGCTGGTAATTAAGGCAACAAAAACATGTTTATATCTCAAATAAACATTTCTTGTTGCCTATTTATCTAGTACGTTCCTAACTCTTCCCATGTATCTAGTACTAAACATTTTTAAATTATTATTAAATTTAATAATTAAATTGTCCATATACAAAACAGCAATTGTAATTTTATCCATTTTATTATTGTCATTCTAAATATTCTTGGTTGATATTTATTCACTGCATTTCGAATAAAGTAGCGTCAATTCATAAAAGTTAATTAATAGGCCAATTCACACAGCTAACACATTTGTGGGTACTTGGAATAGATACTAATGTTTATCGGTTATACATGAGGATCATTTGTTATTTGGTGGTATTTACTATGTGTTATATTAACAGCATTAAATACAAATATAATAAAATGGACTTTTTGAAGGAATTGAGTCAGCAACTGTGATGTCCAGTTTTTCATGATTTGAATTGGCAATATTTTTAAATGAGTGAGATCGCATTGAGTAAATTCACAAATTTATACAAAGTTCTATATGCAGGTATATGATTTGATCTTTTAATTATAGTGAGCATATTTTACCAACAAATAATGTAAAATCCTCAAATGAGACCGCCAATTAATTTCAACCATTTTTTTTTACTTACAATGTTTGGTGTATTTTGCTCATTTGTCAGAAGTTGCGTTTTTCCTGCCTATTGCTCATTTATAATGAGTTTCTTTTTTTCTTGTTTTCTTTTTTTCTTCTTTTGTAATAACTACTCTACCTTTTTTCTATTGAATATGTTTGTTTTGTTTTCTTATTATTGCTACTACTTTAAATAATACACATGGCTTCATGTGCATTACTTTAACTGGACATATATTCCTTAATCGATATTAGAAATAGTTTGAAATTTTGTGTATGATCATCATCATCACATAAGCATTAGTATCTCAATTTTCAAGTCACTTCACTTGTTTTGAAGACGATATTGTGCCTTGTAGTTGGATTAAATATCATTCGAAAATTGATTACTTTTTGATTGTCCGGAAAATAGCCCAAATTCCAAAAGTGGTTCAGTCATATGAGTAACCAATATACATATGGTAAATATGTTTCTGCGGTCTTTGAACATTACGAAACACATGTTTGGTTATTTCAATTCTCTTTTCTTTTTGTATACTACAAAAATATCTAATTAAATTAATATTCAAAACGCGACGATGACGCGTGAGATAGTGTAGGTTTTAATGTTTGTGTGATATTTATGAAGTTTTATTTATAATAAAATAGAATGGTATTGTACAGATGTTGACAGCAGTTCCGAACCCTGCGGCCACATTGTTAAAATGTCTTAGCGCTTAGATTATGAAATAAGGTAGAGAATAAAATAAGTTATTAATTTGTACAAAGTCAATTATATAAGGCCACGATTCGTAAAACATTGTAATCATATTTTTGTACATATTGTAAGTTTAAATGTGAATACTTTTTAAATATAGTGCTATTTATATTTCCATTTTAAGTGATTCGCATTGATCATTTTTATTAAATCTAAAGCATTGGCGAGGGTGCACGCATATTGAGCAAATGGCTTGCCGTGCAATATTTTGAATAATACAAGTGAAACAAAGTGATAAGTATTATATAACATTTGTAATGAGCTTATCACGGTACTTTTTATTAATAATTATTTTGAATATTTTTTTCGGGTTTCTATTTACAACGCTGATATGCAAAAAATTGTAAGATATTCAATAACTTATTTGAAGAGATTTCCTAAAATGTCTAGTGAAAATTAAGCCATTTGTTCTTTTCTTGTGGGCCAGCCATTATGCTGTGTGAACTCGTTGATTTGCAACATAGAAAACTTTCCACAAGAAAAACTTTTGAACAAAATTATTTTGAATTGATTTCCATCACTTAAACTCACCTTGTAAATCCTTTCTTTCGGCAATAAAGAAATAGTTTCAGTTTATTTCATTTTACTATTAAAATAATTCACTCGAGACTAAAAGTTCCATCTGACACCAAACTATAGTGCTCTACGTTCAAGTACTTAAATACAGGGTGTTCCGTAAGCATATGATCAAAAGGATACTGCGATATTCTTTGCATCAAAAGAAGACGATCTGACCTAACTTTTATTAACGAAAACTGTCTGGCTCTTCTGCTGTTAATGATCAAAGTTGTTCAAAAAAATGATCTTTTTCGAAATATCGGGAGAATGGTTCGATTTATTTTAGTGAAACTCGCTGTGAATTTCTTCTTATGTAAGACTCATATTTTGATGAAACAATCGAGTTCAGCCGTTTTGGACAAGGCGAGAATTCTCGAGGGTCGTGGTACTAAAACTACAAGAACTTTTTATTTGGTGGATGAAATAAAACTCATTTTTTTAATTATTTGATCACAATTTTGTGCTCTTTGTAATATCTCGTAGCATTCATAGTTTTCACGACACTCAAGAATTCACCACTTGCCCAAAACGGCTGAACGCGATTGTTTCGTCAAACTATGAACCTTACATAAGAACACATTCACAGCGAGTTTCACTAAAATACATCGTACCATTTTCCCGATATTTCAAAAAGATCAATTTTTGAAGAGCTTTGACCATCAATAGCAGAGGAGGCATTTTTTGTTAATAAAAGTTAGGTCAGATCGTCTTCTTTTGATTGAAAGAATATAGAAGAATATATAGTACCCTTTTGACCATGTGCTTACGGGACACCCTGTATATTGCTATCATAAGAAGGTCTTGTTGCGTAATTTTTATGTGTTGCTGATTAACCAACTACATACACCAGATATTCTGTGAATGGTATTTTTACAGTGAAAAAATTTCGTAATTTCAAAACCATTTACCAGACATTTTCTATTTACTCGGTGTTTTCTTATTTATTTTATGTAACATTTTTGTTGTTTGTTGACCTTGTTGATGTTACGTTCAATTCGTTTTATACAGTATGCTGGTGACATCTTCGGCTTCCTTAAAATCATTAATTTAGGTTATCTAATATATTTTTAATAAAGCTTTAGCAAGGGCGACAAGATTTATTATATTTTTTTACCTATTATTTAGTCGACTATGTAAATAGAATTTGTGGCTCAGTTTTCTTAAAGTTTTATTACCACTGTACAATGAAAATTGCACAAAATTATTGTAAAATGTTATTTAATTTGTACATTTTGTTTATAAGCCAGACTGTAAGATTTATGTGTATTGTTTAAAATTGTACACATAGTTGATTCATAAATTATATCCAGTTTTATACAAAAGGATCTGTGTTTTAGTAGCATTTTTCATTTTTCCACTAACATTTAATTATTATTGGCAAAACTAACAACAAAACAAATTTTATCCTAATGGAATCACACGCATACTTATCGTTAAGCAGCAGCGACTCAACTTAACTAATAAGGGAGCAGCTAGTCTAAAATGCTTTCGGCTGCAACATCTGAACTGACGATTGATGATGTCAGACTGAATTTTCAGAAGGAGCTCTAGATACTGACAACGTCTCTCATGGTGCTTGTGTTTTTCCATCACTAGCTATAATTATTGTTTTTTTTTATGTTTCCTTCCACTCAGTGGTTGGTTTATTCCAATTATATTCCACTTACCTTTCTCCTGCTGCCCTGCTGAATCCAGCGTAATTCTTTTATCAAGAACTTTAACAAAGTCCGAAATGGAAGGCAAATTATGATCCTTCACTGGAACTTTTGTTTTTAAAGTTTTCAAACTGCAAAAAATATATTAATTAGTTGCGTATGCTCCACTAAAGCTAAATACGCAATATATATAATTACGAGATTTTCTCTTCTTACATTTTGTTACATTCTTCAGGAGGTAAAAGCTGAGAAATGAAAATTGTAACGAATTTTAAGAGATCGTATAATCCCGTCGTTGATGCATAGTACACAGCAGACAATAGCAATTTTCCAGTAGTTTCCGGACACCAAATCTGCTTTACGCTGTAAAACCGTCTCACTAGATTCTACAATCAAAACAAAAAATATAACGTATTTGAACAAAAATAATTACAATGCCCGAATAATTAATATGCTGTCTGAGATCTAGCTCACGATTTTTGTTCGTGTAAATTTATTTCGATTATTTTACTTACCGAGATTTCATCTGTAGACTTTTTAGGCTTAATGGCTAATTCGTAAGTGTTATGCGCCTTACCAAATAAAAGGAGTATGGAATAAAGTACGAGCTGAGACAGCCAATTTTTACTCCGTTCTGATGTTTTTATCAACAGTACTTCAATGAGTTCTCCATAGGACACATAATACTAAAAACACACAAATAAATAAAAACTGAAATATCCGAAACAAAACGACGCATTTTTTTCTTGATCAACGCGTACGATTTGCTACTTTTTGAAATAATTTACTGTCACTTACTTTGTCGAAATATTGGAAAATGCTGGATAGACATTCCATAGGTATTATCTCTAAACTACACATATTATAAAGAAGAAATATATACTTTCTGAAGTGGTTAACTAAAACATAAAAGGGACAATTTACAAACAAATACGTACAACAAATAATAAAGCGTTTACCATTATCGGAACTACTGGGTTCCACATTGAGATGAAAAAATGTCATTAATTCAGCAATCACTGGTGAAGTTTTTAATGATGGCATGTCCGTTTTAAAATATGTTCTTCTACTGAGGGATCTAATATCGGTAAACATACCTACACTCGTCTCGCAAATTATCTCAAAAGCCTGAAAATTACATTTCTATAGAAAACATGAATATCTATATTTTCTTATGCATATTGTATGGAAATACAAAAATCCAAAGTTCTTTGAAAAGTGCCACGTACTTTATGTTGTAAACCTAGATTAACCAATTTCAAACTGTTAATACAATCGGAGAACAATTCCATAGCCATTTGCCAAACAACAGGTAGCTGGGCAGCCGTCAAAACCTTCGCCCTCCACATAAGACTCCAATGACAAATTGTCCAAATTTCTTCTACGAACTGAAGTATTTGTTATAAAAAGAGTTAAATTAGCACCAATTCGAGCTAGTGAAGCCTTGAAAACACAATTTGCATACCTTAGAATCAACATTGTCAATATTCGGAGCTGAGATCAATGTTTCCCATGCAATATGCTCATTAAGATCGAATGCTTCGAAAAGTAGAGCGGTTTTCCTTACAATAAGTAACATTTCTCCACTTTGCTTATTAAGGGAATCCATAAAACGTTTCGGATATTCAGTTTTTAGAACGGTAATAGCGTTTATGCAATTAGAGCAATTTGGAAAACATTTATTTATGTAGTTCAGATAGCTTAGCAGAGCACGCAATACTTGCGTATTATGCCATCGGTTGAAAAGTATGGGAGCGTGTGCAACAAACCCATAGAGTATCTAAAAAAAATATATTCATTTAATAAAAAAAAATTTTGAATCAACCTACTTCGAATATACTGGAATTTCGATAGGTCATTCCAAGATATATATATTTCCCATTAGGGTTAAAATGCAAAATGTCTGTCCTCCAGAAAAATAGATCTAAAATTTAAATATGTATTTTCAAATAATTTTAAGTAAATTCCAATATTTCAAGTCATAGAAGAAGAAATATCAAATTAAAAATTCCGTCAAACTAATTCGTGGAACTGTTGAAAGTAGACTAGACTTCCGATATATTTGGGTAAAGGATGAAAATATTGTCAGAATATTTGGGTAAAATTCGTTTTCATTAAGAATTTCAATTGCTTGAGAGTTATCCGAAGTTCAATAAACTCGCTTGTGTGATAAATAAATAAAATATTATCATAGGTGACATATTGTAATATCGGCATGAATAAGACGCATAATTCGTTGATATATTTGAATGAAAGTGCTACGAAATTATACATTACCTCATAGTGTTGTTGTGATAAATATGTATGGTCAATTTCAGCCAGAACTTTGAAAATGTTTGCTACAATGTACTCATTTGTGGCATGTAATGCTACTAGTGCTTTCAGATTTGGATATAATGCATCTGCAATTGATGCATTCTCGCTAGGTTTCCCTAACATATCTAAAACATATTCGGTTTAGAGAACTTATAAACATTTTACACTATCAAATATCCTTGGAGTTTATTTACTGCTTCAAAGTAGTTCGATTTTTTATAAGAGTAAGTATAGATACTTTTTTGTATGTTAGAGTAAGTATATCATTTGTAAAAGTACAGAGTGAGCAAAATTGGTCGTTTTTGCCCGTTTTGGGTGAGAAGAGCTCGATTTTTTAGAAAAAAATGGCGCTTTGCAATTGGTCTTCTGGTAAAATGTTTATCAGATACAAAGGGCAGAATTCAAACATTGTTGATTTTAACATATTTTTATTACTGGAAATATAAAAAAACGTAGATAAATTTTCAATAGCCAATGATTGGCAGAGTAAAAGTCACATAAGTAGACAAATATGCGAAGCGTCTCAAAAAAGTTCCAAGATCAACTTCGGTTTATATATTTATACGTCCCGAGTTCGATAAAGGAAGACATAAAAAATAAGGATAAACAGTCTAATAAAGATAAAATCAGCAATTTTAAAAGTGAAAAAGTAAAAAAGAAAAAACTTAAGGCCTTAAAAGGAATGACGCCAATTTTGAATGACCCTGAATTTAAAACTGTTAAAAAGGCCAGTGTCATATTCAGAAGACTAGTATTGTCAGTACATGTGAATTTTGGGCAATTTAAAAGTAAATAACATTCTGTATATCAATGTATTTCAAAAATTATTTATCATGTTTTCTTACCTTGATTGGATAATGGTCGTACTTTAGTGGGCTTTCCTCTAAGCGTTATATAAACTGCTTCATAAAGCAGATCACTTAAACCATAAAGAATTTGGTTGTTTGCCTTTTCACTGCTCAATAGGATCTGCACGATTAGACTCCAATTTTGTAAAGCATTGGTATGACTGATACAAGACTCAACTAACGCCGACGCTAATTTGGGATTCTAAATTCAAGCAAATTTATTTAGAGATGAAGGTGTGTTCAAAATTGCCAACTAACTTACAAAAGTTTGAGATACTTCGCTTAGCTGCATTAATAAAACTTCATTCGAGTCATTTTTATAGGAGAATATTACACATTTAGCAGCTCCGGACGCAACTGTAAAATCTTTACTGTGCATATATTCTACTAGATTATCCAACACAGTCTTAGTTTGAAGAAATTTGGGCGCTCTATGAGAATGAGCAGATCAAGTTAAAATCAAAATCAGAAAAGCAGATCTATTTGTTGGTGGTAAATTTAATTTTTCAACATACTCACTCTCTAGAAATAAGGGCTAACATATCCAAAGCTTTGAATCGAATCTCGTCATTAATATCCTGAAGACGATCCACAACTATAAGGGTTAACTTTTGCATTGCATCACTCTTCAAATAAGACCTGATTTTTTCATTTTCAATCATTTTCAAGCATACCTTTATTGCCTCTAATCGAACTATTGCGATCTAAAATATCGAAAGTTGATTAATAAAAGAGCGCGAAAAGCAGTCATAGGGCAGAATCTAAAGAAAAGCTAAATCTACTTACTTGATTCGTAATCAAATGATGTAATACACGAGCGCATTCGAAATCACCGACAAATACTTGTGGACACAATTGAACCCAGATCCACAATTCTCTAGTCAATGCTGTCGTCGAAGTGGACAAAGTTGCTCCGAAACCACTAAAATTCAAACATATTTTCCAGTTGAACTCTTTCGAGAGTTTGACGAAAGTATAGTTAGATTTTAGGCGATTAACTAAGATACACTTACCAAATTTTTCTACAGGTGAAATATAATAACCTAATGTATTTATTAATTAGTTGCCTATTTTGAAGATTCACTCCCATTTTCAAAAGTTCTACATTTATTTTACAAAGGATTGTAAGAATTTTTGCAGCTGAAAATAAATATATAACATGTTTAAATATTGCGCTATGAATTTATGACTATTTATGACTATGAAAAGCTTGACCAATTTAATTATTTAAGTCGTAGGACTTAAGGAAGATGTGTTCTTGCGAGTCAATTTAAAGCGTAAGTCGCTATTTTTTTAAACAACTAATTTATCCCGCAACTTTTTACCAAAAGACTGCTAAAAAGCTTACCAAATATATATGCTGTAACTAGCAACGATTTGTAGGTGGAATTTTCACAAATATGTTTTAAAAGTGATAAAAATGAGCGAAACACATCCCCATCTAAAATCCCCTCTTTATGAGCTTCAAGCACGAATTTGTCTAGAAATTGTACGATGCTGTATCGAAGAACTTGCGCCAATAGTGACTTATCAATAAACAGAAATTTCGTGCTTTTCTGCAACAGACACATAGATTAGTCATTATTGAAAATCAACTTAGATTCAACTTACAAGAAAAGAATTCACGAGCTTCTCATTTTTGAGGATTTGACACAAATAATCCATTTCGAGCGGAAGTTTAAATTTGAAATGTTTTTCCAGGTCAAATCCCTGAAATCCTGAACAATCGAAGTAAAATCTGAATAGGGCGAAAATTCCAAATGCAGTTCTATCCATTTTGCAAAACTGTACAAAATTACATGCTAGATCCTGAAAACATCAAAATATTTGAAAGTTATCAAATTTCCATAGCATTCGCTAGAAACATTTTTTGTTTCAAACGATGGCTAAAACCCAAAATTAAAAAAACATTACTGAAAATATTATCGGCTCATAGGCAAGTTGGTAATAGAGGGATCCTTCATCATCACTTGAGGGCTCGTACAACTTCCAGGTGAACCCTTTACGTTGAATCTTACGACATTTACGTAAAAACTCTTTATAGTTAGCACATTCCTCTTCTGGAAAAAAGTAATTATTTAGTTGAAGAACGATACTTTAGGCTTGATTGTAGACGTGAAAAGTTTTTGGTGTAAATCGGGACAGATTTCGAGACGTGCTAATTATTTTCTTCAGTTACTTTATTAATTTGCCTCAATTCTACAGTCATTGGCGTTAACTGTGAGCTTTAAAGTGTGTTATTTTCATGATCAGGTTACCTGCAGTCAAATTAAGAAGCAAATAGGAGAAAGAATAAGAATATAGAAGATATAGACGATGGTCGTAAAAATATGAAAAAAAAATCACAATTGATGGTTGTTCTCCATCACAGTATTGTAGGTAGGTAGGTATTTTTGAGACCCGAGAACAACACACACCCAAATAGAACATGTATCATTTATTGAAAAAGAAATCACTCGCTAAGGAATCAAAGTAATTATTTTAATATTTTTCCGACATATTAAATTTTACATTTAATTAATAAGTATTTCCGTGAATTGTAAAAATTTGATGAAAGCCGTACGAAAAAGACCGACAATTATTGCGGTCACAGCCAAAAAGCTTGAGGCAGACTATTATTAGAAAGAAAGGGTTTTTCAGTCTTGTCAGGCAGACTCATGTACGAATCCGACGCTATTTCCGCGTGTTGCGTGTTCTTTTTGGGCGGCTGCGTGAGCGACCGGCGCTAAACAGCCTTACGTACATTCGGGAACCGTTTCTCTATCAAGAAGGTTCCAAATTTGACTATTTTAAACCTGAATCTAATACTCTATTTATTTTGTTCAAGTATTAACTATAATCTATAAGAACAGGTTTTAGGTCAAGTTATTTTCTGACTAAGCGCAGCTGATGAAAGCTATTAGACTCGAAATTCGTTCTGCATGTGCTTGAGATTACTTTCTTCTTCTTCTAGCCGTTTTTCGTCCATTATTGGACATATATATAGAGATATGCCCTTGAATCAACTACTTTTATTTTAAGTTGAAAAATATTATTTCTCGAAGACTGATTTGCAAAAATGTAGCATGCCAAAATTGGCAAAATAGTAGTTGAAAAAGTTTAAACATAAAGAACTCGACATTCATCACAAAGTTGATCCTTGAAAAAGGCAGGGGACCAAAAATTGACGTCAGGCCTGCAAGTTTTACGGTATATTTTCCAAAGAATTGTACGTACTTGGGTAATCTTTAATTATTTAGGTGTACGTACATAGATATCTTCTTCGTGTACAAACTAAGTACGGACATAATAGTACATATTACAGACCAACAATTTATTTTTTTTACTATTTTTTCTGTACTCCTAAAACACCGCCAGACAACACCTCCAGAGGAATGACGCCAATTTTGAATCACCCTGTATACAGGACAACATTTTTGTATTTGCTAGCAAATGAGTTAAACATGTAAGAGTGCTGAAAGTTTGACCTTAATAGTAAAAATAGGTCAAACTACATATTTCAAAAGATCTAATAAATTACTAACAGCTCAGATAAGGAAGAAAAGCAGAGTTTGGTGCATGCTGCTAAACAGAGCCCTGAACTTGTAATCTTTTTCTATATGATTATCTGCTTTATATTAAACGCTTTAAAGTCTAAATCTAAAATGCGTCTGGATGAATTTCAACAAGGAAATGTTCTTACCATCATCTCCATCAATGGTAAAGTTTGAAAAACTGCTTATAACCGATTCAGGTGCTTCGGGTGTGGAACTTCCTGGATTCTGGAACATGCGGGGTATGGGTGGAGAGCTCACAGCTAAATTTCTCACGTTATCGGAGAATATAGACGAAAGTTGTCTTTCCGCCAAGACATTTCGCAAACTTACTTGGGGCGTACTCGTTGCTATTGGACTTCCAACATTCATGGAAATGTTTAATTTGCGCCTCTTACTAGGAGACGCCATTGTAAAAGACGCTCGCACACAAAATAACAAACCTTTGTAGTTAACTGTAATATTGAAAAACTCAAATTACTCCTACAAAGTAACTAGCGGTTCCCGCGATTTTTGTGATTTGACAATTTTGAAGGTTAAGAGATAACTTGATTTAAACTTGAATGTTTTGCTGGTTGCCGTTATTCTGACTCGTACGATTGTCGAACAAAATGTTAAAATGTAATTTAAATTTATTATCAATTTGTAGTATATATTTTCTTCCAATAGTTGCTTCTTATTTAACTGTTTATGTGTATTGAAGAAGAGGGAGACATCATTATGTATTTGTAAGGAAATATGAACAAAAATACATAGTAATAAGAATAAAGCAATAAAAATGAACAGGAAAGACTAATATTTTTCCTGATAGTTTATTTGCCTCAGGAACTCTACTTATTTTATTTTAAATAGTTTTTTGCATGAGTTGCTATAAACAATTTTTCAGCCATGCAGACAGACATTTACTTTTTCTATACTCTTTGGAATAAAAACACATTTTTAATATTGTACAGTTTTCTCCAAATGGGTACATTAATTTTATTTAATTCTTCAAAAATGCAGAACATTGACAAATTTTAAAATAGCTCAGATAACGGGGAGTTTCTTGATTGTAGAAATATGATCGAAAATCCAGCATTGTCCAAATACAGTCAGTACAGTGTTAAAATTTGGAAAATATTTTCTATCTATTAATTAATAATACCCATGTATAAAATTGATTCACAACCGACATTCAAAAGATGACTACAGTATAAGCGACATACTGTGAAATTTATATAAAAAATTTAAAACTAATTAAAAAAATATTTATTGATACAAATTTAAATCCCCTTGATCTCAAAAGCGCTTCGTTTACTAACGTTCAAGTTTATGCAACAATAGTACTTCCATCAAGTATAATTATTAATAATTTCCATTCAATATAGGTCCCAAATAATGTTTAAATAAACAAAACCTTCTATAGAGTTAATTCAGTATACTGAAATAACTTGCAGCCCAACCAAAATAAGACTTTATTGGCATTTTGCGTTTGTTCAAACACGGACTATTATTTTTATTAAAGTAAAATATGTACTTACTTTCTTACGATGCTGCATTTTTCTGTTATTTCGCTTAATTAAAAAATAACATAAAAAACAAAAACTGAAAAACACACTCACAAAAGTCCATGCTAATTGAACAAATGTACAATACATACAAATTTTGAAAATAAACACTGTCTTTCAGACATATACATACTGAATGGTTTTTGAATTACTTTGCGCCACATTTCAGTTTTACAGTGTGTTTACAAAAACTGCGCTACTTCAAATATAATTTTTCCAAACACAGCATGCATGCATATGTATAATTTTTTTCGGATTAAGAAAAATACAATATGCTCTCAAGTTACCATTCCATATTTAAAGCTTAAAAATTGCGTTTTTTGACATAACTGATTTTAGCGCAAAACCTACTTTCTTCTTGAAAATATTGACTCACACACTGAAAAAAATTAAAAATATTACATTTTGAAAACTTTCAGTTGCCAAAGATATATACATATGTATTAGGTGAATAAATTATACGTATGTTGTTTAACGCTCAATGAAATAAAAAAAAATCACTTAAAAATATTTGGCAACCGCTCTTTAAAACGATTATATGTTCCAAAATGTGCTTCTTATTCTATTACTTCAGGGTCTATATTTGCTTACAGAAAACAATAAAAATAAAATGGTATAAATAATATTTCTTCCGATTTTTGTTGCAGATATACAAGTTTGAAAACTTTAAAGAACATATTAACGAAAATATCGCTTGCAAACAAGAAATTTAGAAAATCTATACCTTCACATTTATAAGCCTGTTATTTTATTATATTCATGTAATCATCAGAACTGCTTTCGAGTCACTAGATACCAATATATTTGTTTTATTATTTCCATATTACCTATAGATATATAAACGAATCACTACACCTGCAGATGACGAAGAAAACAGGAAAAATCATCACATCAACTTATAGAAATATCGCGTAATTATTGCCCGGTAATTTACATAACAGATTAACAAATTTTATGGCATACAAATTACTACCAAAGGGGAAATGTCTCAAAAATATAAAAAAAAACCGGAATCTAAAAATTTAATGGTGCATTTAAAAACTAGATATTTGGCATTAAAAAATCGATTTTTTCGATCGAGCAGATCTGCGTTATTTTTTAGACAACTGATGTTACTACACTTGGTGAACTACTACACTTAGTGAACAATTCAATATTGTGAATAATTGAGTTAAAAGTAAAAAAAGGTTTAAAATGGTATTTTTTGGTTTGGTTTCATAAACCTAAGAGATGGGACGGATTTTAGTAGATTTTGAGGCAATGGAAGAAAAAAACTACGAATAAACCGTTCATTCTAATACACATTAGAATGGTAGCTTATTAATATTGATTTCTCTACTACTCGTCACATATTGAAGAAATTGCAAATATTGTAAAATTTAGAGAACAATGATGTCGATATTTTATTCCAGGCAGCTAAACTTGTTCGATATGAAGAACTAAATAAATCATTCATTTGCGACCATAATCTTTTTACCCTGTGTGCACAATGTATCTACTTATATTGGGGCAAACGTTGATGTTAGGACACCCGTAAACGATTGGTAACTTAGGTAACTCCCACACTCGTAAAAGTTTTGTCAATTCAATAGTTTACACTCAAAACGTCGCGTGCCTGAATCTCTGGCAATCACCTTATTTCGCTCTGTATTAACTTAATTCTTCCTTTTTATTACAAAATTCAATTGCCACTTAAAACTTGGCAAATTTTAGTTTAATTCGTTATGTCTGTGGTAACTTATGAAAAACCATTGCCCCATATCGGGCTTTCGGATTGGTTTGCAAAACAGTGGGAAATCCAGCAAACCAATAATGCTCGCCAGACGGACGCGTTCAACTTAAGACACGAATCAAGACAATTGAGAAATGAAACCAACATCAAAACAGAATGGGATACTTACCACAACAATGTCAGATTAGCTGACCGGGTTACGGAATTGGATAGATGGAAGGTAAGCTATCTGCTCTAATACGAAGAGATTTCTCCAAGGAATCCTCTAGGAAGTTTTAGAATCTTGTCTTCAAAGAATCGACAAGGAGGTTGGGCTTTTGAAGGACGAGAAGTATGAAACTGAAAAGGAAATTGACTCTTTAGGAATACCTCTTGGGGTCATTTCCGAATGTATATCCATGAGGGACAATAGGCTGGGATCTGAGTTGACCTACGATGAAGGAGATACTGAACTGAAAAAGGTAAGAGATAAAAGCAATACAAGTTCAATGCAGCCATTCTCTTTATGGAATTGAAGGAATTATGTGTAGTCGAGGGAGTAAAGAAAATGCTGATTGAGCGCTGCCAAGCCGCCTGGGAAAAAGTTAATAAGCTGAACGAAGTTCGGTTCAAACTTAATCTAGATATTAACGACAAACACGAGGCGATCGAAATTGATAAAGACCAACTGACTCTGGATAAAAATTGTGCGAACATTAGCTTTAAAACTGACCCGCTGCGTATTGTAAAAAAGTAAGTAGACTAACTAAATCCTGCTTGATTAGGACATATACTGAGTTTAATTTTCAAGTTCCCTGCCATATGAATCCTGGCTGGAGCACAGTCGATACGTGAAACTTCTAGCGGATGATGAACTGGCCGACACTCTTCGCCTGCGCGAAGCACTGTTTGTCGTCAGAGAACGATCTAAAAACGACATGCTAGCGCAGCGAGATCGCGTGGATTTTATTCTGCGCAAAAGGATTTACCAGACGCAGAAAGCTCGAAACGAAATTGAATGGCAACAGCTAAAAATGCGAGAGGAAATGCAAAAGGCATTTTCAATCGACAATCTTCTTGAGTACTTAATTACTAAAGTGGTTATTTTAGGTTGCGAAAGAAATTACAACATTAGAAAACGCACTACAGGCGAAAACCGATGCCCTCAAATTAGCGGAAACTCGACTGGAAAATCGGTAGAAACATTTATGGGGAATATAAACGATTCCTACGCTACAGCATAATGTTTTAGATCGTATCGACCGGGATTCGAATTAGCCAGAGACGAGGCGGAACAGGGCTTAAAAGACGAAGTCCTGCAATTGAGGCAAACTAGACAAGATCTGCTGGATAAAATCAATTGCGCGAAAACTACATATAATGCACTGGAAGACCAACAAGTGCTCATTGATAGGGAGCTTGATAACAAAAATCAGTCTCTTATGACCGACATCCGGTGCTTAGATTTGAGAGCCAGACTTAAGCAGGGCAAGTTTGCGGATCCGGAGAGTCAGACAGATCGAAACATCCAATTAACCCGAATGGAAAATGAAATTCCCCCTACATAAATAATGGACATTAAATCAAAGAAAAAATTATCAAGTTATTCTTTGGAAATGTATCGTATCGGTAATGGTAAAATAAAAGTAAATTTAATACACATTTTTAATAAAACAGTCCCAATAATAAACGATAACAACTGAGCAATATAACATAAACATAATAATAATGAAATAAATATTATAACATAATATATACAACCACAAAGTATAAATTATTATCTAAAATTGAGCCAATCGATTAATATAAATGTTTTTAAATCACTAGATTCAGTTTAGCTATTTACCATTGAATTACACGTTATTCGAGTATAGAAAAAATATCAGAAACTTAGGCTCTAATCTCAAATACGTTGCAATGTGAGGTGCTTTTAATTAGTATATGGACATTGCACCAAGCTGCTTCTAAATTGGTATTAAATCAAATTACAGCCTAAGAGACAATTTTCATGCAATCAAAATAAACTATATTTTTGTTTAATTTCTGGCGGTTATTTTATAGAACAAGGCTTTAGGTTGAGTATTAATAAGAACCACTGTATAAATCAGCAAGGAATCATCTTTTGATATTTCTTTATCAATATCAAGATTCTCCTGAATGATTATAACACCTATACAAGATAATTTGTAAATATTGGTCGGGCATGTAATTCTAGATTTCTTGGGTCAATGGGAAACTTGATATACTTATTTTTAATTCTCCATCTCTTCCAAGCTTCCTTTCGAACTACTATAGTAAATTCCCATTTTTCAGACCAGTCATTTTTATGTTATTTTTGCTTCAACATTTTATTTGCTCGAAAATGATACAAAGCAAACAAGTATAGAAATAATTGATTTTTAAAAGAATTTTCCAACAAAATCCAAAGAAACTTCAAGCAATACACATATTTAGCGCATTTCTCAAAGCAATTTATAAGAATTCCTCAAATTATTCAGACCCTAAACTGTGTATATTCATAAAAATATCCTTGATATTTTCACCAATTAAGTGCACCTTTACATTTTCAATCAATATTTCTGAATCGCCTTATATACCTTGGAAAACCACCAAAATTGATTACCTACGCATAGTAAAATTATTTATTAAAATATCAACGATAGTTAATGGCTTTTGTTCCTTTATAGCAAATATCTTCAGATCCTTTATGGATCATCAATACCTGAAATAGCCTAATAAAAAATATAGACAACTTTTTTAAAATGCACTAACAATGTAAATCGGCAAAAATAGTAAACAATAAATAAAATAAAGGTACCATATTATGTACTATAATTCTCCTAGCGGTTTTTTACATTTGAGTTCTTTTTAGGTTTACTTGTAATAAATAGTCAAAAGCGTCAATAAGTTACAGATATTGGTCCCTTATTACGTCGTTAATAAATTGATTTTTTGTCTAGACGTGAATATTGAATTTTAGATGTACAACAATAAGCCAAATTCTGAGTACGTCTTGAGTACCAATTATACTCATTTTGGTTTTAAAATAATTGAAATTAAAATTTTGCTTTTTAGAAGTTAACTTAAAATTCACTAATTTTGAGGAAATAATAAACTACAAATTACAATATCATAAATATCACTAAACGTTCCTTGTCAGTGTAAAATTTGTAAATTAAATACATGAATATAATTTAGCTGCACTAAGAAAGAGACAAGTAAAATCTTATATTGTAAAGACTAAAAGTATAACCAGAGTATAAAGTTATTAAAATATCATGTCATAAATACTGCAACAACTGGGGCTGTTGAAGCAAGAAACATACGTTTTAATATATTATTGGTTCTAAGTTGAAGTAATTTTTTTATCAGTTAAATTTTAGATAAATATACCATACGTTATTTTGCCTGAATGGACGCACACGAGTTTAAATAGCCGCGCAAATATTGTTACATAACAATGCCAGTACCTTCAGTTTGTTGCTTACGATGGTGGTATAAATGCACTCGAAGACAACTCTGATTCCTCATAGTTTTACCACAGACTTGACAGTCCAGATCTGTGGAGTTCGACTCATGTTTATCCCTAATATGGACCTTCAGGTTGTACCGGTTGACAAATTTTCTGCAACAATGCGGGCAAAAAACGTGTTCCTTAGCATCAATCGCATATAGAAAAGAATCTGAAATAAGTTAGCATTACATTGTCGGGCAATTTGTCAATAAAACCATTGTTACCTTATTTTATAATTGAAGTGAATAATAATGAACGATTACGTTTCTCCTTTAAATAACAATATCGATGAAAGAGGAGCAAGACAAATTAATGCAAATAGCTGATCAAATAAAGTAAAATCTTATAAATATGGCCGAAACTGTCCAAGAATGTATGCGTTAAATCTGATTCAAAAAGAAACCACCAATATTACTGTTATATCTTTGTATTAAGGCACATCAGTTTCACAATTTTATTGATAATGACAAAGTAATAACAGTTCTTAAAAGTAATTCAAACAAATAATTAACATTAACATATTTTTGCATCAAAACACTATAATGATGTGTATCATATAAGTTGATTGTATTGAAATTAATAGACAATCTTATTAATCTAATGTTTCGATTTTTATTTAATCTAAATTAAATCAAATCATAAGTTGATTCTACGACCAGACCATGATGTAAGTGTCTCATATAACAAGAAATAACAAAATAAAAAAGTGTATGTGATTCTTCCAAAATGCTTTGAAGCTGCTGATCGAATCGGCAAATTGGAATTGAATTGTGCAATAAGATAAATATAATAATACAAACTTGTATCAAACCGGACGCTTAGATTACTGACTAGTTTTGATATTAAAAATGGCACACTCTAGCTAACTATATTTGGCGCTGATTTTACGATCTTAAAATTGTTCTAGATCAATAGACAATAATTATTTCGCTTTAAATATAATATAATAATAAAAAATATTAAATTCGAGTACATAATAATACCTAATTAGTATTAAGGCAAAGAGTAAGACACTAAATGGCTCGTGAAAAAACAGTTTTGCCTAAATAACACAGGCTGAATTCTTGTGAAGTCTGATTATGTGTAATTTTATTTTATTTTTGGATACTTTAACTCAACTGAAAAGTATCTTGCTTCTTAATACGCACATTAATCAGGAATACTCAAATGAAAAAAATACTAAATTATCATCATTAAATGTCAAATAGTAGAAAATCGTCTAAATATCTGTTAAAGTAATCTTACTTTAACAGAGATTTAGTATCTTACTTTCACTTCAAAGTAACATAGTCCAAAGATTCATAAAATACGGCGACGTGCAACGATGTTAAAGCAAATAATTCATTAAAAATCAAGCTTTAACTTCAAATTTATATGACGAATCATTCATATTTGTGAAATGAAATTTGGATATGTGCTTTCGAAGACTTTCCATATTCTTGTAAAGTTGCTCACAAATCGAACATTTAAAAGGCCCAGCATCCGATCCGTGTATGTTTTTCTCATGAGTTCGAAGATGATCTCGCCTCGTAAACTTTTTCATGCATTTTTCACATTGATATACATGTTTGAATGCGTTGGTTGTTCGAGATTCTCCCTTGCTGGTACCTATAAAATAATGATAGTTTCTTAAAATAAAACGATAATTCGTGACGAAATGAGCGCCACGTTGGTTTATCAAGTCCTTCAAAAGTTGAAGTCAATATTCTGTTTGTCTGACTTTAATTTCATATAATTTTTCATCCCTTACACTACTAAGACAACTGAGATTAATATCCACCAAGTGCGTGAAAAAACCCACTGAAATTTCAGCAATTCTACTAATAATATCAATTACCAAAACTATCTAACAGAAAAACCAAGATGTGATAATTAAAAAGTTTATTAAAATTTGCGATACAATGTGGGAACGGATTGCACGTCGTTAAATATGGTACTCAAATAATACGACCCTGGTCTTATATATTGAGGTTCTACTTACACATTTATAGGCGTGATTTAATAACAAATCAGCATAAAAAATTTCACATGCCATTAATTGGGTTATCCTAGTCTTCAACTTGCTGCAAATAGTTGAAAATACTGCAGTTAGCATGTTATTAAAATATTAGTGTGCTACAAAACGCTACTTACCATGCAAAAACAAATTCAACAAGGATCGAGTTGCAAATCAACAAAAAAAACTGCTCACATTTACGATACCATTATTGACCAAAATTAATAAGCGCAAATAAAAAATTATAAACTTGTGCGAGGAACGTTTTAGAACATAGAACAAGCAAAATAAATATAATATCAGAAAGCAAACATTAGCGAAATTTTAAAAATCAATTAGTTAAGAACGCATTTCAAATTACAGGCCGAGATATTGCTTTTATTACGTATTTGGAGCGCAATGGAATAACAAAAATTAAATCAAGCATTTTGTTATTACAGTAAATTTGACATAGCATCAGCTATCATTTCCACGGCCCTAAAGCTGAATTGGAGGAGCATAATAAATAATAAAATACGACAAAGAGCCAAATAGAATAGCATAAAATTTCAACATGCAATGGCTAAATCTCGGGAATGAATAAATATACGGACATTTTCGGAAGCCGTTTGTATAATAAGTAAAAATAATATGTAACTCTCAGCCAGCCTTTATAAATGTTACTCACTCGCAATATCTAACTGCACATTTTCTCAGGCAGTTATCGGATGCATATTTGGAATAATACTGTCATCGTGTATTTACTATTTAAGGACTGAAAATTGCTTTTGTATGAAATATATAATAAAAGAGTCTACAAAATTTAACTGATTTTGGTATATAAATTAGCTTTTATCTTTCGGCACAATCCTATGTATGAAATTCAAAAGGACCATGAAATAACTGCAGATAAACAAGTCTAAATTGCCCTATTCACAGATACTTAAGTCCTCACACTGAAAGGGTTGAATACAGTTTCGAATCATATTAAACAAATAACTAGCCAAAGGCAGTTTAAAAATTTAAAAAATGTTGATGCGCTAACTTTTGATCAACACCTGATTGATCCCGATTAGCAGTTTCTGTTGTGTTTAATTGAATTTATGAGCCGTGAGTGAGTGTAAATAAATGTAGCCAATGAAATCCTTTAAATTATCTGCCTGTATAGGTTATTGTTAGTCATCAAACTAGTCATTTAGTAAAATTACTGCAAAATACTAACAAATCTGATGAATACATTGTAGTACAAGTAAATTAACAATAAACAGCCATGCATTCAATAGGTTAAACAAAATACACAATAAATAAATGCGGTCAGAAACAGGATATTTAATTTAACAAGATGGTCCAGATGTAATACAATAATTATCTGATTTGAGTAAAATGAAAAAAGACATTTGAAGTTGTGATGAACATGTCGATATAACTTTTAATGAAACTATCTAGACCACCCTTAAAATATCTGGATTTTTCACTTACCTTGATCTGCAGTGTTTTGATCTGAGCAATTTGACGCACCAGCTTCCTGTGCTGCACCAGATGCATACAATAAATTTCCTTTCCATATATTCGCACTGTTTTTGGAATAATCTTTGGCTTCTTCGCTGTCGTCAATGACTGGTTTTATGTCTCTTTGAGTCGTAGTTAGATCACAGCTCTTGTATTCAGTGTTAGATTTAGGTGTATCACAATCGACATTTGTTACTGGCTTTGAGGCACTATATTCGCTAGAATACGACTCTGAACATTTTGATCGTTTGGAGCGATTTGGCGAGATAGACTTGGCATGCCTCTTAGGAAAATTTAATGGTAGTGGGGAAGTCTGAGGCGGTGGCGGGGTTTTTTGTAAATATAATTGAGGAATATCGGTATCCGTAGTTGTTTCAATCAATTGATTGTACATTTCGTTGACATCGTCAATTTCACTGCTTGCTTTCTGCTCTTTTTGTGAACCCGAATCTTCAGTCTGAAAATTAACAGTACATTTTAAACATCTAAATATCATGAATGGCTCTTCAATGGACTTACTGAATCCTCGCCCGTCAAGCCCTTAACTTGCAGCACTTCGGCGGTTCTCAAAAACGACGGCAAATTGTCTTTTAGAATACTGACTTCTCCCATATACATAAATTGTAGTATATACTTCATGTTATCATGTCCAACATCTTTTAATATCACAATAGGATGCTTGCATGGATTTTTCATAAACATTTCTTTGAAATACGGACTACATATTGAAAGGACAACTTTGTGTGCTTGTAAAAAGTGACCATCAACGGCCAAAGTGACATCAACCATCTCAGCCTGCTGTAAAAGGCCATGAAATCCTGACTTTAGATTGTAGTGAAAGTTGTTCCATCTTAGTGAAAATTGTTCAGTTGTTGCCATTTTTGCCTGTAACAAAAAAGTACAATCAATCACAAACGTTCAATATCATTGGTGCACCATGTATTTATTTAATACCTTAGTAAAAATAAAATGGCTAAACCCTATCAAAAGCAGACTTTTTTGTAGCAGATAACATCAATATCAATATGAAATGAGGTTGTAGATTTTTAACTTTAATCAGTCATTACTTAATTATATTGTTTCTTAAGCAAGTTATTGCTTCTCGATAATACATACGGTTTGAAAGTATTGGGGTTTTTCGCTATAGTGGTATACAGTATGGTCCAGTTTCTAGATCAAAGCTTTAGAGACTACAAGTGAATCGGAAAATAATATGACTTTGCTTGTTAACTTATTTGCAGAATGCTTTAGGCTTCTTTCAGGGTGTTAGAACATAAATGTATTTTAAAAAACTGGATTTATCTGAATAAAATGTTGTAATCATTCAGGTAAGTATGCATTCTAATAAAAAGTAAATAATACGTTTTCGTTTTGATTCTGGCATTTGTGTTAAGCGTAACCTAATGCTTTTAAAGAATTTATTGGTATGGAATTGTTTGTTCATAAAATGCAAATCAATTTCGTATTCATCATTAAATTTGGAAAGAAGAAAAATGTCCTTTTTCCATTTTTCTCTACGACGCAGCCGGTGCGAGTGAAAAAAACAAAAACAACTTATAAAACATGAAATTAAAATTTCCAGTAGTCATTATTTCATTAATTTATTTGCTTATTATTATATTTTTCAGCTTAAGGATTATTTTTTGCTTGTCTTGTTCCGAAAATTGTCAAATAATTCTAACAGTGAATTGAAATTGTTTAATATTCAACTCATAGAAATGGTGGCAAAAAATAATTCGATTTAATCTAAATTTTGAAACCTAAAGTAAATGACATAAGTAAACTACAAAAAAAACACCGATAATAAATAAGATACATATAAAGCTGCTGATACAAAAACACTGAAAGGTGGTAGATACTCGTAAATTTCCCCATCATACAGGGTTTCTCATATAAGCATTGGGTCAACATACATCAACATTGGGTTTTTAAATAACACACCCACATTTTCTTTTTATTTCTGAATTCTGCATTAAATTTCCTATCATTTGTTAACCCATAATCGACCGTGGCTATTGAAATGGGTATTTTGAAATTAAATTTCTCAGAAACACTAACAGATAGCAACCTGTTTCTGTCTTTGGATTTTAGAGACATAAATTTATTTTCCTATCTTCAACATTTCGTTAGCTGTTCAGATGAATTTTCAACAAATTACCAAATTACTAATTAGAAAAAACGAAAACCAAAATGTCCAAGATGTTATATAGGTATAAAACATATTCGCATCAAAATACGCAAAATAAATTAAAATAAAAAACAATTTTGGATAACTAAGCATTTAGTACTTAACTAATTAGGAATATAATTTCTTCCAATTATTTGCCTGCTGGACATAATAACTTTTACGTTTAATTTTAAATATTCCTGTAAATTCATCATTAGAACATTCTTTGGTTTAGAGCAGCTACGCAGCACATAGTTGGATAAGTGTATAAAAACTAGGCTTTCCGAATAAATTGTTAATCATCGATAACTTAGTTATACTATTTTAAACAATATGTGACGTAGGTATAATGTTCAAAACTAGAATTTAAGATCATTAGGAATTGCTTAATAGGCTTTTAAATTACTAGTTCAGAAAGCTCCATGATATATTTTAATAATTTGCATGTTTAGTGAGATGCAATGGTGGAAATGTCGATGGCTATCTCATGTTTAGTATTTCACGTATTGCAATTGCTATAAGTATGTAGATAAAAATGTTCCAGGGTTGATTTATGGGGACGTGGAATCTTATATCTGTAAGTAAATAATATTAACAGCATTAACATGAAACATGTATTGGCTTGGTCATTGGAATTTGTCGACATAATTTGAAGTCGAAGGTTCATATTATTATTATGTTTAATTGTAAACTAGAAATTTTCGATTAGCTGTAATCTATGAAACATTGTAAACAAAGTACTATACATACATATATTTTAAGTAGTTTCTATAAGTAGTGGAACCTTACCTGAAAAAATCAAATGTTCTTAATAAAGGGAATTAACTATTACTGTTTGTCTGCAGGAAGTACTTAATTATGAACCAATAAAAATTGCATTGAGTCGAATTATTTAATTAATACTGTTGAATAAGCAATCGCGAGCTATATTCATTCTAATTGGTTTTTACAGCGTACTGAAACCAATTATCGTGTTTTGTTACTGTTACGAAATGCATCAGAACCCATAATTTCGCTTGTTATCAAAAGTCCAAAAATAACCACTTATTTTAATTTTTCTCTTAACATTGATAAATCTGTGCGAATTGCTGTATTGCACATTTAAAGCACAATTACCTTACAATTTGCATTATTTAACTAAATATGCATGACAATCAGAAAGTAGCTACGCTGCTAACATTTATTTTTGGATCTTGATGTGGCCATCAGCTAAACTAACCTAAAAATATTGCGCTCTTGCTTGCTCACCCTTGCAAATTTTCACTATCCGAATTTTAGGCACCGTTGCGAATAAGCAATTTTGAAAATAAGAACTACCCGAATTAATAGAAGTCCAGCTTTACATAACACTAACAATATAGATAGAATAGTAAACAAAGTGCTAAAGCTACTTCACGACAACAACCCTAATTAGCCATTTCCGGGCCAATCCGGGCATCCGGGAATAATCGTGATTGACGGCTGCTAGCCTTGTTGCCAAGTCTATACCCCAATTAATCAAAAAACTTTCAATTATGGTCAAAATATAGCCAAAGGGATACTGTTGTCGGCAAAGGGACGAGTATCAACTAATAGCTCGCATTGTAGCCTAAATAAACTTTGAGAATTACCATGAAATGAGTGATTTGAGTTCAATATTACTCTCCAGCAATTTCGTGTACTACATTGTGGTTTCACAGGGTTTGTGAAACAGGTGTTTGTTTCACAGGGTTTGAACGTACATAAAACGTTTGGATTATCGGTTGCCTTGCAGCTGGTCCTAAAAATCTCTGTTCGAGTTGTACATTCTTTAAATGCGATATTTTATGGCTCAGAATTATCAGTCTTAGCGGCAACAAGCATGGTCACATGTGCGCCTTGGGTCAACTGTGCAGGATGGCTGAAAATTCGACAGGCCCGTCTTCACTTAGTTGGCAACTTAATAATTTATTTTATTTCAACATTTTTTGGATTATTAATATTTTCTTCAAAATTGATTTGCATTTTAATATTATAAATGTAAGCTGATTAAGTGGAAATTTGTCTTTCTAATTTAGCCAGTTAATAAAATAACGAACAAAATAGAATAAAATTAAAAATAATTAATGTTAAGAAACAATTAAATTGTGCCTAAGTGGTACGCAATGTTTAAGTTTTTTATTATACCTGTATAGGTTCGAAGAGGTCGTAGAGTACTATTCATATCGTATTGATTAATATATTTATTATATATCGATTAATATATTTGTTGCATTTGCATTTGGTTTGTATTGTACTTTAACGCTCGTGCCAAGCCATATAAACATGTATTTATGATTTTGATATAACTTTTTTTCTTTCCAACTTACTGGTACATCAGATTCTCCCATTAGAACATTACATTTATCCGTTCAACTCAGTTTTTCACTTCGCTTGTGGAAATCCAAAGGAGTATTGTAGTAGGAATTTTTGAAGAAAGACTTTTCAAATATTTATGTTTATTTTAGTTGGGCTCTAAAGTTCAGAAGCTGAGTAGCTGTTCTTTGTATTTCAAATAAAACCGGTAAATGACAAAAATATACAAACACTTTACCATGTGTGCTAATAAACTATTCCTAGAGAATCATCAATATTTTATATCATTGTGTCTCAATATTGAGTAGTTTTGGAAAGATCTGAAAAACTGTCAATTAAATGTCAATGTCAAATTGACAGAAAAAGAACCTGATTTACGATGACATTTGACAAAATTTGTTCATGTATGTAGTTTAGATCACACGTCTAACTAAATCATCGAATTTCTGCAAGTTCTCTGAATTTCAACTGAATTATGATTGAATACCACAAAACTCGAAAATTGTCCCAAAAGTTCCAAGGATCAAAGTACACAAAGAAGGTAAATTTGACTGTTCCGTTTCTATTTGCATCGTATTCAGTACGAGTAAATTCAAATGCAAATATTCGAGCAAATCTGATTTTTTTTAGAATTTTCTAAACCGCAGGCTGAGTTATGGCGGTTGGAGTACGTAATGATGAGAACTTATAACTGGATTTTCAGTAACTCATAACTTGTTTTTGGAGCTCAATAGGAATCATTTTTTGTGCGCTGTTATTACTTTTCGGAGTGATTATACATATTTTCTATTAGCAAGTGGTTTGGATGTTTTCGGTTAAGATAAACTATTGAAATTTTACTTGAACGCGACATTTTCAATTTTTTTCAACAGATAATTGTGCATACAATACACAAATTATTTAGTCATTTGACAGACAAAGTATTTATTTAATTGCATCTATTGAGGAAAGAGCATATTTTGTTTATTGGGCATAATCTACAAAAAAATAAAACTGATTTGTGCCGCTTTAAATTTCTACGTATTATTGAAACCGCGTGTTCGTTGAACTATTTTTTCTCAAAAATGAACCGATATAAAATAAGACTACTTATAATTTAAGTGAAATTGATGAATTTTTAGCTAAATTTTAATTTTTTTGTCTCACGTACAGGCTGAAAAGTTATTAATGAGTAGCGCAGCAATTGAAACATGTATAATTCGTCATAAAAGAACCATCGAAATTTCTAAGTTTCTAATCCGAATATTGCCAGAATAATGACAAAAAATATAAACTTACTACTTTTGCTTTAACACCTTATATCTTCGAAAATATAAACTTTCTTATAAGGCCAGCAATAGTCACCATAGTATTTCCAGTTTCTGAATTTCGCATAGTTAATGAATCATTTTGAATATCTCTAGTTGAGAACTTGTAATTTAATATCTTAGTATCCAGTATAATTATTTTGAAATTTTGCTCATTACAATCAGTAAGAAATAAGGAAATTACTACGTTAAGAATGAGGAAGATTTGGGATAAACCTTAGAGTGACCCCTATAAGTAGCGGCTAAGAGTCAGCGGGCCGGAAAAGAGGTCTTTTGTGGCTTAAGTTCATTATAGACTCCTCAATATTTGCTTGAGTCGAATGTTGCCCTCAAATCTGTATCACTGTGTGCACTGCCCCAAATCCAGAGTCGCGGGCAGACATCCCACCCCATAAAGTGTGCCGAAAAAGTCGATAGCCTTCTGCCCCAGGAAGTTCGCGCCGACTCTTGGCCGCCCCAAATCTGCCGCCTCCATATCAGCAAGCGGCAATCGATACCATGTTCTAAACTGTGTTCTGATCAGTGAGAGGTTCTGTTCATCGGACTGGTGTGGTATCGGTTCGGGTTCCTGCTGTGCGATTGGGTTGAGTGTGCATGAAACCAACTTCTTCAGGTGCTGTGCTCATTGCTGCACCAGGCCAACATGCAGCCTCCTCCGAGGAAGGTGGGGATTTTGCTCTCATGCCTTTTCATTTGCGTTCCACTTTTGCACTTTGTCAAGCACACAATATCAACCAATGGCTAATGTTTGAAAGCTCAGATTGAACACTCAGCCGGAAAACAGAGAACTTTTCCACTGCCCGCTCACCTACTCTCTCAAAACGTGCACTTCGTTTTTAAGTGCTCGATTTGCCCTAGTTGGGTTAAAGTTGTTGAAATTTTCGTGGACATTTACGTAATATCTCATTTCAATTCAAACCTATCACTTTTCTTCTGCTGAGGTTTTTTTAACCTTTTCAAAATTTCTGAAATTTTCTTCAATCTTAATAATTCAAGCAGAAATTAGTTGCAATATCTAGAACGAAAATCAATGACTTAAACAATTGGATACTATTGCAGAACATTGGAATTTATCAAAATAAGTTAAAATTTTAAAGCATTGTTACAATATTTATTCTCGTAAGTAATCATCAACCGTTTATTACATTGCCTGGTCTGCTTATCGAAAATGATAAACTAGATAAAAGTCTTACTGATACTTATTTTCTTTGATTCTAATAAATCAAAAAGAAACTAATTACAATTTCTTAAATAAAAATTCATTAGAAATTAATTAATTTTTACAAAAAGGAGACTATTGTGAAAACTTGGATTTACTTAACTCAAGATAAAAGCCTTGTACGCCACATGTATTTATGCAAAGGCTTATGACAAATATTAAAACAATATTTTATCATCTAGTCATATAGTTTTGCAAAACAGACAGCAATCTTCGACTAAATTTAGCATTTTCTATAAGAATATATTAGAGCTATTCAATATATAATTCTATTCAATTTAAAATTTGCCGTCCATAAATCGTCTCTCACCCAATTTGACTTTCCACCAATTTTCATCAGAGCACATATTTGTTTTTCAGTTGTTTTACAGAGTTTTACAAAATTTTTAGTATTCAATTCAAGAACAAATTCCTGAGGAGATTTAAAAATGAAAATTATGAAAATCAAAATTTGTTCAGGAAACGTTCTCGGTACTTTCCTCCTAAAAGGAGATTTTCCTATATGAAAAGAAAAATAATCCGCTTCAATTATGTAATAATTCAAAAATATTTATTGAAAAAAACTCTTTTTGACTTTCCGAGAGCTAAAACTCAAGAGTCACGAGTTTTAAAACGTATATATTGAAAGTACTTTACTAAATTGATAAAAATATTATAAGCACACTGTTTAGTTATTTTGACTTCATGCTACTAATAATAATAAAAAGCACTTTTAATAGTTGAAAAACCAAAATTAGTTAGTTCGGACTTTGGTTGAAGTGCAATTTTTTTAGTCATAATATACAAATTCTGTAAAACTGTGACAAAAAACTTCTTGTCACTATTTTACCGATTTTAAAACTGCAATTAATTTAATTTAAACTAATTTACGAAAAAATACTCCATTGTTCACTTTTAAATATACACGGACATTAACTTAAGCTTTGCAGTGAAGTAAAAAAACTACTAATCTCAGCAACTTAATTTCAAGTACGATGTAAATAATTATTTATTGAAGAACGTAATTTCCTATATGTGACATGAGATTGTATCTGCTTTAGGTATGCCAAAGTCTATAAAACCACAATTTTTACGACTTTCCCAGTAACTCAATTTTAAGCTAAAAAGCGTTATGAAACGGATAGGTTGGATAATGCGGACTTAATAAATTTTTACAGAAACTAATTATCTAATTTGACCTTCAGGTTGATTTATACCTGATTAGTGGCTCATGGCACGTACAAGATTGCAAATTTTGAAACCCACATTTTCAAAGATATCCCAATAATAACTTGACGAAACTTTTAGCGCCGCTAAAATCTCAAATATTTTATGTATTTATGTTAATCAGTTAATTTGAATAGTATTTTTACTATACCATAATAGTTTTCAGCATTATAGTCATTATGCTTCTTACGTTCTGTTATATTAAATATGTACTACAAGTTAAGGATCGGTATTTTCCTCACAGCCTGCTTTAAATATTTTTCAATAAAAAAAATATCATTCAGTTCGATAACTGAATGATATTGTTTGCATAAAGAGTCTTTTTGCATAAAGCTCAAAATTTGTTTAAGAAATTAGATACAAAATACCAACAACAGTGTTTTGTGAGCATTTAATTAACAAGTTGAAAACGGAACTAGGTACAATTTCAATGTATTTGAAAGTTTTACACATAAGGACAATTTTTTACATATAAATGTTCCCCTTATTACCAAAAAAACTTTTTATTGTATTGATTATTCAGAAATATGGATCACGTGGTTCTATAATATATTTTTACTGTTTTTCATATAGGTATTCTAAATGAAGCGCAAAACCTTTTATTTTATATGTAAGATGCATGATTTTCGATTCTATTTTCGGTAGACTTTATAAAATGTCTATGGAACTAAACAGACATTCAATGGTATAAATAAAATATGTTTCGGTTAATAAACATATTGAGGAGCAATAAAGGATGAAATAAACTATTAACGGTCAATACTGTTAGGAGATTTTAAGGAAATTTCACTCATTTTGTAGCAGATTCGAATATTTTACATTTTTTTGAAATATTATTTACATTATTGAAACTGATGAAAGTCTTGCCAAATTTATTACAACACATTTTTTTAAGTTGATCATGAGAACATAATTTGTTTAAAAATATGAAACAAAATTTACAACTGAAAACAAGTTTGCAGAATGTAAACCAAGCAAAAATAGGAAGTTTTTATACAATTTTCTGATCAGTTAGGGAACTTTTCTGCGTATATTTTAAAACCTAAAATCAAGTTTCATATGGCCATGAATTAATGAAAAACTTAAACAACATTTTAGCTGGATTTCGGCTTCTGAAAACAATTTCTGGCGGATTCTGGGCCTAAATTACTGCCAAAATGTTACAAGAAAAGAGAAACAGAACTTTTAATCCATCCATTAATCATTTTTTCTTGCTTTAATGTCGTCCGTCAATCAATGCCGAATTTCATAATTTCTTCAAAAATGGGAAAAACGAATGCGCTGAACATTAATCTGAACTTTTAAGAGTTAAAAGTTTAAGAAGAAGATTATTAAAATGTGGCAATTTTCCAGGGGAACTATGCGAAATTCTTAAAAAACCTCCACTCGGAGCAGATCAACAAGCTGTGCATGAAGAACCAGCACGAGTGTGACCTTTTGGAAGATATTCGAACATTTACGCTTAAAAGGTCAGCGATAGAGAAATCCTATTCTGAGGTAAGACCATGATTCTTGCGGAATTTTATTTCAGATGATTCTCAGGCGTATTAATGTTTCACTTACACTTTTCCCAGAAAATAACTGTTTTCCTTTTTATTATTTCTTGGGCAGCAAGTTGACTAATAATCTTGTTTTTTACTGCAAATAAATAATTTAAAAATATCGATCTTACTTTCTACTTGTACATGTAATTATCTAGAAAAGGTACTGAAAACTTACAATTTATACATAGAAATAAGTCAATAATATGTAACTAGGGTTCGTTCAATAAGAAGGCGGTTTCAGTATTGTTGCTAGAGAAAAATCATTAATTTGCACACACACCCACAAGATTTGAAAATATATCTAAATTATTTAGTTAAGGTTGAAACATTTGCGATTTCTTGGAAAAAGCTGGTAGTTGGGCATTAGCCGTCTTAGTATTACTTCATCAATTATTATGTTCTTCTAGGCACTACTAAAAATATCATCTGCCTACCTAAATAAGAAAATTCCCAATATTCCAGACATAAAGTTAGAAGGCGGTGAGGAAAAATGGTAAGTGGGTATTTGCGCACTGAATGAAGTGAGTTAAAGTATTCGATTAAATTAAAAATTTGTATAATCGGCAAGCAAACATAAGTGAAAATGTTTAAGGAATATGTGGAGTGTATGGAGGACTGTTTTGGAAGAGAATGAAAAGTTAGCCAGAGCTCGGCTAGCCGCGGTAGAAGTATTTCAGCAACAGATCGCCGATGACGCCAAGGTCCTTCGATCCCACAAAGTTCAAATGGCGAAAAAGGTAACAAAACACGTTAATACTAAGAACAAAACGTGTTCAACAATGAATGGAAGTTAAGGGTAGAAAATGTCAATGTTCCATACACTCGCTACTTCTCGAAAGCTCGCGCTTTTCAAAGCAACTATTCATTATTCATAATTCTAACTCATTGTTCAATTTGCAAGCGCTACTCCTCGGTTTGGCGTTTTCTTGACTCGGAACAATGTGTATAGATAATAATCTGACTAAAAGTCATTTATCACCTGCTATTCCCTTTAATAGCTTAGTAACGTTCTCATCTACATAAAACATGAGACTTTCTATCAATATTAAGAAGTAATAGCTTTCGAGGTCATTGCTGGAAAATGATAAGTTTAATAGAATATTATCTAGACGTTTTGCAAGCACAAACCCCTACATCTTCAGAAGTAAGCTCGAGTCCCTCTAACAAATCAAGTCCCAAATTATCCCGTAAAATCATCTTTGGGAACAATATTTAATAAATAGCTCTAAATATTTATTTTAATGTTTTAATAGAGTTTTTTTCAATTTCGATACTTTTAGGTAGTGGATCACTTATCATTGGTTCATAAAGAGCTTCAAGCTTGCGTTCAGGACGTGGACAAAACTAAGAAACTTTACTTTGATGAAGAGCACACGGCTCACGACGTCCGGGATAAAGCTAGAGATATCGAGGAAAAGTAAGTTGTTTTTTAAAAATTGAATTCAAACAAATTGTCTGAAAGTGTTGCAAGTGATGAAACTATATACCTACTAAAAATGCCTTCATTGTTTAATAGTGCTATAAACGTTAAAAAATAAACTAATTTTATTGCGTAGTCACATTTGGAATATTTTTCTTTAAACATTATCAAACATTTTATTAAATAAATTAATTTTTGTTTTCAGGTGAATTTAGGTAACATTAAATAATGTATTTCGAAGACAAGTTTATTTCAGTCTTGACTTGACAACGGGTTTTTAAAGATTCAGAAAAGTTTAAAAGCGAATGCCAAGAAATTCAGTAAACTGCACTCGAAGTTAGATTTTATAGAATTCGAGACAGAATAAAGAAAGTTTCGTTGCAAACTTTATCTACTTCCGAATAAATGCATTCGGTTCGTTTGAAATGTTATTCTCGTCGTCGATTTTAAAGTTATATAAAAAAAGTAGCTTTCAGTCGATTGTAGTAAGTTTGAATATTGATATTCATTTCGTGTTGGAATATAAAGCAACGAATTTATGTTTAGCTTCGATTCAAATAAATACTTTAAAAATAGTCTAGTTTCAGCAGATGAAACCTGCAGGCATTAAAACTTTCCAGGGGATATGAAGCGATGTTTTCCAATTAAAACTGTTGCGCTCTTAACTTTTGCCGATTTGGTCGATGTTATTTTCATAAAAGCAGCTACCGGTTGAGTTTCAAACCGTATTCTCAATCTGGAATATTAACTGCAAAATGGCAGGTTAAAACCAATAGTTAGTCGAGTCAGATAATCACCACCCAGGTGCGCGTTTTATGCAAAAGAATTATCCTCATTGGTTATTGGCTAGAATTGGCCAGAAGTGTGTTTGGGACGCAATTTTCCTTTCTCGAAAAAAACTGTTTTTAATACATATCTGTAATTCAGGTTGAAGAAAAAGAAAGGTTCATTCTTCCAGTCCATTACTTCACTTCAGAAGAATAGCCAAAAGTTTTCCAGCAAAAGAGACCAATTAGAAGAAAAATCTACAGGTGCCCGAAACGATTATCTTCTTTGCCTGGCCGCAGCAAATGCCCATCAAACAAGGTCTTTTTATTATCAATTTTGTAACGCAAAAACAGAAAAACATATTTTTGGGCTTTTGCAGATATTTTGTCACTGACTTGCAACTTGGTATGAACGCAATGGAAAGCGGCGTGTACGATAAGGTGGCGGAATATTTAACTTTAATGGGTAAACAAATTTTTCTTCAATACCTTATATTATTAGATTCCAGTAACAAACTTATTATCCAGGTAGGACTGAACTCCTCACATGTAAAGCAATGGAAAATTCGTTTTCGACTATTCGTGATCAAGCCAAACAACTGACCAGAGAGTACAACTTGCAATGCTGTTATCTGTACTATCCTGTATTGAAACAACACATTCAGTATGACTTTGAGGTGAATATTTTCTTTTCAAATTGCTATTAGATAAATTTTCCTTTTACAGTGTATACAAAGTACAGAGTTTACAAATTCTATTTTACAGCCATGCGACATGGACCCAGTGGATCACATAACTGTAGACCACGATTCGGCGGCAGCAACTTTGAGCAAGGAAGCAAGGCGTTGGGCAACTAAAATTGCAAGAGAAAATAACAATATTAAAGAAAATATCAGAAAACTGCAGACATACAACGCAATGAGAGAAGCTGGACAAAAGGTGACCAACTTTTATTTGTAGGGTTTAACGCCAAGTACCTGGAGATTTGTTGTAGACTGATCCAAATGATCCCAATGGGCCTGATCTAGAAACAAAAATTGAGGAAGCAAAGCAATGCATTCGAAGAGCGGAAACAGCAAAAGTGAAAGCTGAAGCTAGAATAGAATATCTGAGGGAAGGAGGAGTGAATGTTGAAGACTGGCTGCAGGAAGCTGAGTCCTTAAATGTACAGGATATACAAAGATCTGCAAGTTCACTTTCGGTAATAGAAGTCTACATTTTAGACCATTGGTTAAAATGTACTTTTTGTCTATTGCAGGATCATCCCAGCTCGGATTCGTTTTACGACAGCGACTTTGCAGAGGGAGAACAAGTGACGGCACCAATAGAATCTGTGAAACAGGAGAAGGAGCCTGAAGAGTTACAGCAGGAGCAGCTTGAGAGTCAAGAGGTGGATGGTGAGTGGGGTAGGCAACGATTTCCTACAACATTCACGTTTAAATCACGTATTGTGAAATGAAAATCGTTGCACTATTTTTATACATGTATCATTTTTTTAAGTTAATCAATAGTCTTCTTTTTGTTCGTATACTGCTTAAAAGACAACTTATGTTGCCTTCCCTTTAACACACTTTTAAACGTTTACTGTTGAATGCATCTTATACTTGATTATTTTTCGATTTTTAGCTGTATTGGAACAAGAGAGGCAACGAATTGAGCAGCTAACCGCCGGTTGGGACGATCCCACACAAGTTGATTGGGGAGCTGAAGAAGAAGCAATGGGAAAAACCGAAGATTTTCAATTGGGTTCGCCACCACCTAGTGGACCGCTTTTAAGATGTACAGCCCTTTATTCTTATACGGTAAGTGGGCGGAAGCAAGTTCAGTTTTTAAAGAAATTACATTTGGATGCTGCTTAAGTAAAGAAGTTAAAGGAGTAACTGATTCTTTTAGGCACAAAACCCGGATGAACTCACAATCGTTGAAAATGAACAATTGGAAGTTGTGGGTGAAGGAGATGGTGATGGATGGCTGAGGGCTAGAAACTACCGAGGAGAGGAAGGCTATGTGCCTCATAATTATTTAGATATTGAGCGAGAACAGTCTGCAACTACTCCTGGCCTACAGGCTCAGATTTCGTTTTCATCTGTCGATTACACGATCGATAATGAGGAAGAAAATCAGCCTCAAACTGAAACTACCCAATCTCCAGAACAAGTAGCTGCTAAAATGCACTTGAATTCAGCATTTTAAACATATGTATGCTGTTTTAGATTTCTGTAATTTCCATGCCGATCCAGAAAACTATGAGTGGCAGCGATGCTCCAACGTCATACTGCATAGCTTTATACGACTACGATGGAGAAGGAGGTGAAGAATTGACATTTGAAGAAGGACAAATCATTAAAGTTCTAAGCAAATGTGCTCATAGTATTGATGATGGTTGGTGGCAAGGCGAGCTAGAAGGTATGCGCCTGAAATTGTCCCAATGGGGAACTAATTGCTGGGAATTTAAATATTTTTAAAGGAAGAATAGGAAACTTTCCTTCGCTCGTAGTAGAAGAATGTGATGAATTTGGGGAACCTCTGACGAACCAGTGGGATGAAACGCCTCCTCAATCCGCCCCTCCAGTTTTCACTCCTCCAGATATTCCGAATTTTCTGAAGGAGCCGGCTGAAGACTTTCCCGAGCCCCCATCATCCGTAAGTCGTTCACAAAATTTTGTATTTTGCAAGTCTATATTTTTTGCCTCTTAAATTACATGCACAATTTTTTGTAAAAAAAATTTGATTCCTGGATTTTATATTACAAAGTATTATTTTAAAAGGTTGAACAACCATCACAGCCGGCTCCAGTTCTAAACGAGGAAACGGAGATAGAAAATGATATAATTAGAAAGTCACCGCAGTCGGATGCGAATTTTAATTCATTTTCTATTGAACTGACTCGAACGCAGCACCATCAGTATGATACACAATTTGAAGACGATTCAAATGCAGTTCCCAGTAAGTTATGTAGAATTATTTTCGGTTTATTTAGTTTATATACTTTCATTGAGCATCCAATGTTAGTTCTATAAAAAAAATTAAAACTCCATAAAATCTTGAATATACACCCATTCCATATAGGCATGGGTAACTCAGTGACTTCAGGAGTTGGCGCAGTGATGCCGAAATGGCTCGGTGCGCCAACACAATAACTCACCGCTGCAGTTGCGTTGCAGTCAAATGTGGTGACTCTTTTTTTGTTAGGTGTTAAAATTGAAACCACGGGCTTCGTGAAGTTTTAATCCGCTCCTGGGTTAAATGCTAAGCGTAATTAAAAGTGCGGCACAGTGAGTCGCTATAAATAATAACGAAAAACTCAGAGACAAAAATTATTTACAAGTTCAGAGTTGTGCGTTCAGTAAAGAAGAGTGCGCTCTAAATGTCGTCAAAATTTCTTCAAACTCAAAAATTCTTGTATTGAATACTGGAACCCAAATTTCCATATCTAAAGCGGTTCTTTAGCGAAAAGCAGATGAGCTTGACGTAAAAATACAAAGCCGCCCATAATATGCCCAAAGTTTCAAAAGTAACTGCGAAAGGACCAATAGCTGAATCGATACCAAATCCAGTTGTCAGTTGATGAACTTGCGAGTAAAAGTTCTACATATACATGGCAACAACGGGAAATAATTGCTTATGAAAGCTTGAGCATATCGAAAGCTGCGTAGTGCTAACTGGAAAGAGTGAAAAAATGTGTTTAGTACAGCAGGAAATCTATCCAAAGCGAAACTTATTTGAAATCAGTAAAGCAAAGAGAGATAGATGTAAAGAATCCATAAAAATTCAGTTGTTGGTGGAAAACTAAACGCAGTTCAAGCTAAAAGATTTATAAATTAGATCATTCTGAACGGATTTCTGCAAGCTGGCGCCCTATGCTCCATTATCTACTCACTGATCCCCAAGGACTTAACACAGTACATACAATCAAAATCCACTTGCAGATTTTGCAGAACTTGAAAATTTTAATCCTGCACTTGGCAGGTAGGATTGTGGCCTTTTCAATGATTTCATATTTTCCATTTAAGAACGCGATCCACACGACCCAAAGAACTATCAACCAATTTCGTCCACTGTCTGTAGCAAAGTGAATATTTATACAACTTTTAGAAAAAACTACAAAGTAATTTGCTTTTTCGCCTTTCGTTTACTCATTGCTTTTCTTGGCAGTTCGATTTCATTTTTTTTATTGTTGATATTTTTGTAGAAAGTACCGGCTCGCACGGTAATCTTTCCAGGGACAAATTTCACGTTCCAACTTAACGAAAGGCAACAATAACTAAACGAAATACGTTTCCAAACGCCAATCTTTCACTAATTTAATTTTAAATTTAGAGTCATTTATACTATTTGTCTTAATTTCATTCGACTGCAGTGATTAATGTACAACGCCAAAACTAAAATTAATATCGGAATTAATTTTGAACAAGAAACACTTTCGGCATCAGCAGAGCTGCCATGAGCTTTTGAAATAGACAAGTGCAGATTTCGAATTGCGCTAACGTCAGGCACCCCCAGGACCGGTTTCGAGCCTATTAGCTCTCATCAGCTGGGTTCAGCCTGAAATTAGCGATTCCGAATCGTGCATTTTATAATGCCAATGTATTCATATCGGCGTGGAATAACTAACTAGTTCCCCTGACAGAGAATATTTTTCCCAATTTTTTTTTTGAAAATTTACAGTTTTTGACAACTTTACGCATCGGCTAAATGTTGAGCGTAACTCAAACTGCGGCGTAGTGAGACGCGATGAGGTATAACTCATTTGCGCAAAGAGCGGCAACTACTGAAAATCCTACACAACATAGAGTTACCCATGCGAAATTCCAAAATATCAAAAATATTGATATTTAAATTACGCTTCAAATTTACATCTTCCATCTGATTCTAAAATACCCCCCATTAATTACATCTGCATCGATGGGCTCTGTTTAATGTTATTTATTTCCTTTTATTGCTTTCGTTTAGCAATTGGAATTCCAAGTCTCGAGATCAGTGATGAGGTATGTTCTTCTCAGATCCACTAAGTTTTTGTCATAGATTAATAAATACGTTCTCTACATCATCCCACATCGTTATTCATTTAAACGATAATTTCATTTAAGTAATTAAAATTTGCTTGTCTAATGTAGAATGGAAAAGAAATTGCTCAACCCAATGATAAAGGTGGCGATGACTTTAGCCTGGGTGTTGCTCAAATTGTAATCACAGCAGCGACACCCATGATGGAAGAGCCAGAACAGCCGTTTCCTCCTCCCGAGGAGGATGTGGTTATTGTAAATCATCAGAATGACGTGATAGAAGAAGAAACAGAGGAAGATTTTGAAACTGAAGATGACAACGAGCGACATGTCCAAATTATATGTAAGAGAAATTACTAAAGAGATATCATTGAGCCTGAATTCCCATTCTTAAGGTTCATACGATAGGCGGATCGACACCATAGAGGACAGTCCAGAGGCGATAATTGAAGAAGCTGATGATAGCGAAAAAAAAATTGATGTAGCTTTGAATAGAGAATGTGATATAGAAGTAGAAGAAGTAGAAGAACCTGAGCCAACCGCAGATTCAGGGTCTGGACAGCTTGTAATTAGTAGCAGTACGGGGAGTGATGGTAGGTGCGTCTGATGAACTTGTAGCAAAGTATTGTTTATTTTTTTAAAGGCGAAACAACAGGGCCCAGCACGGCAGAAAATTCCGTAAGCCAAGCCCCAATGCCTGCTGATTCCGACCCCCCAAAGCAAGTAGTAGGCGGTAGAGCGAGTATACCAGATGAGTTAGAACCTCACCAACTAGCAAGGCTGCAAGACCTAAAGGAGTCTAATGCCTAAACATCGTTTCAGGTTTGCAATTATTTCTTAGGTCCTTAGTTTCTTTATTTTTTGTCTGAGATAACTTCTATTTCTAACTATACCCATTTCCATTGACTGATCAAGCCGCACTATATTGAATACTTTGCTGAAAAGTATTTTTTACTGTTTTTTTTAGGTGAAGAGTCATTTTCTTAGAGAAGTGTTTGGAACAAAGAAGACTAAACTCTAAGAATCGCTTGGAAAGCAAATATTGTTAAATGCTGCTATGAACGATGCGTGAAATATAGATGGTTTTGATAGAAATTTGACTGACCTAAATAAGCTTCGAATGCGCAGATTGTTTAGTGTTAATGTCCAAATAAGTTTATTATTTGTGACTGTCTTGAACATTTCAGTGTTAAACTTTTTAACATCAATATTTTGTTTTCGTCTTGAACAATTCTTTTAATCGGCAATCAGCGGCGTAGTAACGCAGTTAATTTGTAATATAAACTTTATTAAGTTCGGAAATCTGATTGTTAAATTGTTGGTACCTACCTGCTAAAGCTGTTTTAATAAAAATATGTTTTGGGCGAAGTTCATTCCTGAAATAAAAGTAATTAACAAATTATAAAATTATATTACAAAAACGACTCTAATCACACTGCATATAAACTAATGCGCGTTAATGTTTGTACCTAATTTGTTACACTTATTTGTTGTTAGATGTTTTTATATGATTACAACTTATATTAAGCTTATCGACAAAACGCTGTTGATAAAAATAATTCGAGCTTTATCTTAGTTTCCTCAACGATTAGAATATATATTCTAGCATTGAAAAGCAGGCACTACGAGACAAGAATATTTTTTTGTATACTGAGCGTTTCAAAAGGCATATGCCGAAATTCGCATTAATCCATCATTTTAAAATTAAGTCAAAAGTGGTTACAACTGTAGGCCCGTCTAAAACTCTTGTCTTTATTCAAGTGAAAACTAGTTTTTACGCATTTACTCTACAGATAATTAAAACTGTAAGGTAAAGCATATGTGGACTTGAATTTATAAGAACCAATCACTCTATTTTAAGTTGATTAAGTCAAGGTGTTTTGAAACATTGGATATGTATGTATTATTTAAAACTCTTACGCTTATGTAAATGAAGTACCTTATTAAGGTAAATTCATCATCACTTATGTAATATAAAGGTTTCTGTTTGGCAAAATGTTCATCTAGCTAAAGAACAAATCTTCAGCGCGTGTGCACACTGAAGATCTTTAAAGCTTGAATGTGTGGAGAATGTGAATATTTTATAGAAAATCGTTTTTAAATTTTAAACACTTTACATATTCATCAAGCATAACAACGAGTAAAACTAGCCAGGCCACAAAGAAAAAATATTTTTGTCTTTAATCTTAGTACTTTCCTTTAATTGTTACTACGTAAATCTTGCCCCGTAATTATATATTCAAATAGTTACCTAAATTTGTATTATTTAGTTGTTCACATTGTAGTTTACTAGGGCAAAGAAGGAGATAAGTAGTTTTGAACGTCTCGATATGAAAATACGTTTTATACTGTTAGAGTATATAAAGTATACCAAATAACGGACAATGGATTTAAAAAAAGTCAATATTACAATATTGTTATGCGTTATATGAAACGCATCTCACTTCTAAGGTGTTTATTCCGAACGAAAGTCTTGGTGTATTTTTGGACTTTGTTTTTTTAACACCTCCATATTTGTATTTTCTATAAACTTTTCTGAGTCATTGTAGTTCCATCAACGTCTTAAGTAGTCAGTTGTCCCCATAATAACTTTTAAAAAAGCAATAAATATTTATTGCCTGTTTTCACTAAATACGAATTGGCTAGGTGATGTTAAAGCGAATCAAAGAGTGATCCCTTAGTAAATAACTTTGTAGTAGAACCCGGATTTCAAATAATAATTTTAGTGCTAGAAGTTCAAACTTGAAATTTCTTCTGTGTTACTTTGTAATTTAAGCAATAATGTTTTCATGTTTTCTATTAATAGGTATTCTATAGTAATATGTCTGGCCCTGTAGTTAATGTTTATATGATGGTAACGTAATAGCATGGCTATTGCTAACGCACTATATAAATTTCCGTAGATAATGGCAATTTATTTTGATTTGTGTGTTTAATTACTGTATATCAATCACAGTATATTTTATAGACATATTTGTGTAAATTTTACCTACTGATATTGTGGGTCTGCGTTCAATTTTTGCCTAAAACCTTTCAAATAAAGTGTCACCTTTATTAAATCGCGGAAATGTTGTACAAACTCATACGGAAGACTAAAAAGAATACTTATAATTGATTATATTACCTGTCTTCTTTCAGCGGTGCCTTCTTATTAAAAATCCCAGTTCGTCTTTGAAAACTTTTTTTATATTGTACATGTTCCTAATTGCTAACTGATAGTAAGCACACTATGATACAAGCAATCTTGTTGCTACTTTACTTATTGTTATACGTTATTATTTACATATTTTACACTAAAAGCGAAGTTCAACATTTGAGTGTTTTTGGTTAACCAGAACCGTGGTGGGTGGACATTTGCTTGTTTTGGTGTATTGAACAAAATAAGTTTCTTTCAATCTCTCTCTTTCCAAAACAGCTTTTTACAGGATATCAGAAAACATCCTCTTGTATCTATATGTATCATATAGATGTATATAAAGGTAAGACGTTTACGCTAACAAATATAAAATAAATACAATCACATGTCGATGAATGGGCCTTTAAGCAATTGCATTAAAGTTTGGGATATTTGCCAAAAATTAGTGTGCGATTTAACAAACTCTCTAAAACATTAATCTGTTTTGGCAAGATCGAACTTAGCATACAACCCCCGTTTAGAATAGGTACCTAAGCTATATTTCTATATCTGATCCGTTCTGTGTATCATCAAAAATATAAAATACATCATTTACGTAGATTATTTTTTTATTTACATACCCTTAAAGTTCTATCCCGTACTAATGCAAATTGTTAAATTACATTTTGTTTTTACAAACACACATGACATTTTCCAATACAAACTGTTATTTTGTACAAACAAACAGCCTGCTTTAGAACAGATTTTATGTTTTATTTATAAAAAGGTGTGAATATTTTATATGAAACATTAATTTTACCGCACATTTTTTTAAAGCGATTGCAGCCATTGAGAAAAAAATTGCTAGTAATTGCAAATTGATCTGCTAATGTTCATTCTCTTCACTAGATTTATCACTTTCGTTGTTCATCCCTTTACCTCAGAGCCTAATCTGCGTTATAACGGTTAATCGTTGGCATGGAAATTGATTGGTCATCTGGAACTAAAACGGGACCGCTTTAAGATACATATGGAAAGTTCCCAGTTTGGTTTTAACTTTGTTTCAATCCTGCATCACTTTTGGGTCATTGATTATTTACTGGATAAAATCGAGTGATTAACTTAATAACTTGGCCTTATCCACATGGCTTTAATTTAAGTTTAAATAGTTCACGTGAAAAGTGCGACCCCGAAAGTGCGGCGTCCTACTTGTGCATCAAAGTGGGGTAAAGTTACCTGCATAATTAAAAATCTATAATGTTTAAATTTGACTGTAAAGATGAAACTGTATTAATATGTTATATTCACTGGAAGGTTCATACGAAAATTTTGCTGTAAAATTTTTCAACAATTAAAACTTTAATTATCTAGTCCAACATCCAACAATCTTCAAAGTTGATGGTAAAATTGTGGCATTTAAACTCCTCAAAATTGATTAATTCTTGCATCTGCTTATTGATGCTTACATATAGATAGGTAGGTGAATGGAAATATTCTATTATAATCAACTAAAATTATTTAAACATTGATCAATACTCTAGTAGAATGTCGAACGATGGCAGTGCTTCCCAGTCAGACTCGTCGAATAGTTCTTCTAGCCAGCTTTCATTTTTCCAAGATAATACATTAGATTTGTCTAATCTGGATAGTCCAGATAGCGCTTTCGTACGAAGTGGAACAGTTGTTCGAAGATCTACATCGACTTTTAGAAAAGAGAGAATTGAATCTACTAGTAGTACGGAAGATGGTGAGTACTACTTGTAAGGTTTCTTCAAAGAAGGTTGTGACTTTATTGATGCCTTATTAATAGCTAATAGCAATTGAGAAAAAATAAAATTTGTATTTAATGTCGTGGTTAGTTCATTAGCGTTTCGAATCCAAAATTATTATTTGGTTTTTCGTAACATTGGGCGTCAGACTCTCTTTGTAGGACCAGCAGATAGTTGCATCTTCCAGATCTTGCAAGTTCAATTTTTATTTTTGTAGTATTTATTTTGTATCTGTTGTGTCGTTTACTTCGTTATTTTCCGATAAGAGATTTTTCAATTAACTTGTATTTTTCTCGGCTGCACTCATTGTGTATTGCTCCAAAATGGAATTTTCTGATTTTTTCCTAATAATTTTAATCAAATTTATTGTTAGAATAATTTTTATAGATTTTGCGCAGCTCGATCTGCTGCCAAACAGCTACGATGATGTAGCTGATAGTTTTAGCGGTCCACACTGAGTAACTTTTGCTTACAGAACCCTGTTCTTCATTCGCGTACATAAAATCGTGTGCAATAAATTTCTTAAATTTGTATTTAAATAACTTCTATCACTGTTGTTTGTATTTTTATCAGTAAAAGTATTGTTTCACATAAATTGAACTACAAAATTACATTTAAAAATTGTTCTTTTGCTTTTTTTAGATAAGTATCTAAAATTTGATTCGTTAAATAACAAAATAAAACCATGCGACTAAATAGATTACTTCTCAATCTTTGTTCGCTGAAAAATCTATCAATTATCAAACGTTGTCGGACTAATACTTGAACCATCTGATTATTGTTGAACTTGAACTTGTTTTAAAATATTCAGCATGCAGATGCGGTTTCTTTGCAAAAGGTCCGACCATACATTATTCATAGATTATATGAAGAATCTCTGAGCCTACGACAAGTCAGTTGGTCTAGAACTTATTTATGTACAATAAATATTGTATAATATCTAAATTTTGCTGACTACACAAAATTTTGAGGTACTAATTGTACCTAATTAGAAATTATTCGATTTATATTATAAATTGGGTTATACTTTTTAAATTAATTTAATAAATTAAAACTCTTTATAATCTGCTCATATACATTTTTGACTCTTTAAAATTTGAAATATTATTGAGACATTCTTATTACCTGGACGGAAATTAAGAATACATTTGATATTCGCCATACATTTCATAGAATTTTTTTTTAAACATAATTCTTGTTTGCGAGCTTTGTGAAATTTATAAATACAATACATAAACATTTAGAAGGTATCGCATTTTTCTGAGTATTTGCAGGAACTTTTCGATATTATTTTAAACTAGTGCCTTTTTTAATGTAGATGATCTTCCACCTACAGAAAAATATCGAAGGGAACATCAATTTCGACATAGTCTAGCAGCTATATCAGAAAGGAGAAGTGCAAGAAATTCTTTTTCTAATGAATCTGGTAAAAATAATCACAGGTAACTATAATTTTCTTGAAGAAAATACCAGGTGATTTGCGCTTTAATAGGAAAAATCTGTACTTTTGATGTTTAAGGCAGTAAGTTTATCACCGATGCTAGAGCGCTCTAATATAGAAGCTGGTAGCTGTTCTCTCTTCCATTTTTCTGAAGGTTTGATTCTAAGCATCTAAATACTGTTGAATTTTGCCAAAAACATCCAGAGTGGCCTTAAATAAAGCATATTTGTTTGGCCTTATTTTTTTTTAGGCAGTTGTTTTTGTTCTGTAACAAAGCAAAAGTGTGTGCTATAACCTTTTTTGTAATTTAACTAATTAATGGAACATACTGCGCCGAATATTTACACTCTTGTTACAGGATTGTATTTTATGAATGCAGCTTTTATTCGAGAAAAGTAGCTATTCATTCAAGTGTCGAACAATGAGAAAAATGTTTGAATTGGAAAATAAATTTTGTCCTAAATACGGTCTGTACTGTAAAATTTATCATTAGCTTTTTATTAAAACTTGTTGTTAAAGTTAGCTTACGCGAAAGTTAATGTTATTTTTAAAACACACAAGACTTATTCTATCCCTGGAAAATTGCCGCATGGCCATTATTATTTTGCTGCAGTCAAGTTTTCTTTATGCGCTTTTTGATTTATTGCGGTATTTCAGCGGCTCTTTTAAATTTTCAAAATATTATCTTTTTAATTATATGTAAACAAGAAACGTTATATATTGAACCCATGATTCAAAAGTAAGTACATAAGTAAGAATGTTACCTATTTACTTACATTTAATGTGTAGCACTAGACGATAGTAATATTCATAATATTTTTATTCGTTTCTTTTCTCAGGTCATCACTTGACTCTTCGCTTGAGAACACTGATTGTTTAAAAGTTACCAATCTGAATGAGTTTAAAGCGGAAAAAACGTCATCTCCGAATAGTTCCAGTTATTTCAGCTGGATTGAAAGTGTCAACAGCGAATACTTTGGAAGCGCCGTATCAAACGCATCTAGTAAGTCTTACATATTGAAAAAATAAATATACCTTTAAAAATATTTGCAAAAAAATTGTTTTCAATTTGAAAATTTGTTACAAAATCAATGTTTTTCAGCTCAAGATGCTGATAGCAAAGTTGGCGAGTGGAATAACTTCTGGTTGAACTACAGCAGTGCTCGTCTTCGTCATTTATCAACTGATCAAACGTTTAGCTCTGATGGAGGAGAAAGAACAGCAGATGATCAGTCAGATCAAGAGCACAAAAGTCCTGGAAGTACCCAGAGGGACGTTACTGATAAAAATTCTGTGGAACTCGTTATGTTAACAGTGGAAGAAGTGCGGATTTGATTGCAAGCGTGTCTGAATGATATTTTTCAATAATATTTTTTTCCAGATTCAAGAAACATTAAGATGCTCGCAAAGGATTACGGAAATATTGCGAAGTGCCATGAAAAGAAGCGAAGTAGATGGAGGTTCAAATGGGTCTTATTATTCTCAACATTTATCTACTAAGGTAATTCGAAGGAATATTCGACTTAAAAAACCATCCAATCCATTGATACGTTTAGCTGAGTATATGGGCAACTATTATGTGTTATATGAAAATATATAGAATGTTCTAAATGTTTTGTCCAAAATTATACATGTAAAATATACAACAATTTCAGGAGAACGTTAAAGCAATTGGTGCCCCAAATGTTCACTCAATCCAGAATAGTGTTCTAAAGTTTCTGAACTTTTTTTAATTTCTGGCTTTCAGTCGTTGTTTAGAAGCTTATTTGATAGTTAACAGCACGCTTCATCTAAATTACACATTCTTTGAAAGCGAGAAGCGTTAATTAATGTTTGAGCACTTGGCAACTTAAAAGCTGCCATGGTTCGACTTGTAATGTTTTTAGTCGGTAAGGGGGAGTTGAACAAAAGTTTTTCAAGAATTTTTTTCTCTTCCTAATTGATCATTAAATTAGACAATAATTTTAAGTTTGGGAAAATTGAAGAGCGTATCACTTTTTTCTATTCAAAATATTCGGTTTATATTAACATATTTTGAGCCCTTGGCATTCCGAATACTGCAATCAATCGACTTATATTTTTTCACTCCAAAACTGGGTGTCGCACGGAAAAGTTTCAAGAGATCGTTTCTCTTCCGAATTGATCGTAAAATTGGAAACTAATTTTTATTTGATATAGATTATAGAACTAGTACAATAATAAGCATATTTAGCTTCAGCTATAATATCCCAACTTATCCCGCATATAAAATAAATTTTATCTACAAATACTGCATTTACAGTTTAAAAACTATTTTCAGAATTCAGTGAACGATGAAGTGGATGTACCATCAGGAAACATGGCCAATAGAGAACGTTCGATTTCATGCATTGAAACCCAACCGACTCAGCGTCAGAAGCAATCCATGAAGCCAAAGCAACAGTCTTCAAGTACCAGTTGTATTGAAGCTCTTTTAAATACTGGCGTGGGAGATATTTGGAAACGAGTCATATCCAAACGACGTGATGTTTCTTCAGCCGATTCCAAGCTTCTTCAAAGAAACAGCTTTTCTGAGTGGTCCAGTCGATAGTTTCATTCTAAGCCAGTTGCTTGAATCTCAGGGACTTATTTTATTCAAATTATAGCATCTGTTTTCTTGATATATTTGTTAGCTTTCAATTTAGCAACACGTAGATAGCTGTTTGAATCTTTATATTATTTTATCTGTTGTGTGATATTTATAGTGCATGTTTCAGTTTCACATCGCATGAAAGTATGTGTAAAACTAACTGGGGAGATAATTTAGTATGCGATGAAACAGTAATGAATGTAACTTCATTGGTATGACTATAACCGAGTTGCATACCTCTGGAATAAAGAGAAAAATTCTTTTTTACAGCACATAACTGTATGTATACTGTATTTTTAGCTGGTTTTAAAGAAATAAATTTTGTAAAATTCTCAAATTTTATTGTGCAAAAATATACAAAATATACTGAAAAGCTTTGTTATTTAATGATAGCCAGAAGTAATTGGCAGATTAGAAAAACCCTCATTTAAATATAGAGAGAGCTTTAAATTATACAAAAGTGTGTATTCGTGCAAATATTTGCTTCCGCACTTAATGGTTTTATAACTAGACAAACTGTAATAAAGTTGCAGCTACATTCCTGAACATTTATGTTTTTATAGAATTGAGCAACAGTTTGGTTTAATTTTTTTTTCTGAAAGACGATGCAAGATGTTAAAAAAGTCAATAGGCAAACATGTACTCTTTCAGTGAATTGATGTGAATTTGGTTTTAAAATCGCAAACAAATTATAAAATAAATGATGAACTTTTCATTTAAACTGGCTGACTTGTTCGAAGGTTTTAATAAAAACTGAATACAAAATTAGAAAAATTTAAATAAAATTTATAAAAATTCTAAAGATTCTGCTCCCGGAAACGATGTACAGGGCTATTGATTGAACTATGGCCACCCCGTTTTAGCATCTAATTTGAAATTTAGAGAAAAATGTTAAATAAAAAAGTTGTAGATATTAACGTCTAGTTTAGTTTAAGATAACATCAATTGATAGAGGGTGTCTCAAATTCAAATTAAAAATTCAAACTCCGTTTAAATTAGAGTGTAATTAAGAGGGAAAAAACATGTATAAACAACACAATATTTCTTACACCACATTAAAAAGTTTAATTCAAAGCAGAACACACTCGCTTAATATTTACATTTTAAAGGTTCAAATAAAAATCTTCCACAGTAGCAAACCTGGCTAGTTAATGTTGAAACACTGAGTGAAAATTATTTTCAAGTAAAAAAATAAAGCCAAATTATTGATTACCCAAAAATCGTTTGAATTAGGGTATAAATCACAGAGGAAAGCCAGTAAAAAATAACAAAAATTACCTAATGCGACAAAAAAATTGTTGAGTTCGAGTACTCGAATACTCGACTATTCGAATATTCGAATATTCGTTAGATATTCGAGTATTCGAATAATTTTACTATTCGAATAAACCACTAAACGAGTATTCCAATTTCAGATTTTAAAAAATTCCGAGCTCTAGTCTGTAATAGAGAAATAGATTAATATCGCTTGTGAATATCGAAATTGCGTCTCAGCGATTTTAGGCAATCGGCAATACAGAAATTCTCCGAGAGCGCTCACGTAAACGCATGAAAATAAACGCCGGTTAGAAGGTTAAGAAGAATGTCGCTTCTAACCTAGTTTTTCTTGCAATTTGTTTGTTACTTAAAATGAAGCAAATTTAATGTTTAATGATATTTGGAAACAATGATTGGCATCAAAACTGGAATTAGTAGACTTTGCCCATCTTTGGGCACTTTGGTAAGAGGTTTGGAAGCCTAACATGACTGAAATATTAAGTTCAGAAAACTTACAGATTCGACCCTTGTGTTCTAAAGCGATTTTAAATGAAACCAGCTTGGATTTTTCGTTTCGTGAACAATTTTCGTCAGAAGAACATTCTAAAATTCTGCAAACAATCAACGAGTCATCACCGGAAGAGCTATCCAGGTAAGAGAATATATTAGGTATACGTAGTCTATGAAAATATCTGGTTTTACTGAAGAAAGTTCGAACCTCCTTTGCTTGATACATGTTTCCTTTTACTTCAGGGAAGTACTGTAAAAGTTTCCTGTACTGCCTCCTACTTCCTATATGACTCCGAATACTTTTCCTTTAGGTACATTTAATAATCAGCAAAGTCTTTACCATGATTCTCACGAAACTAACATTAATTACTACTTTGTGTGAATCTTTCTCCGCCGCTCTTCCGCTTGCTAAAGCGTCCAACTGTACGGATTTTAAAAACTGTTAAGTTTCGAACTCAAATTAACCGTTGAAATTGATTTTATTTGGAAAAGGTTCCACAATCATGTAAGTGCAGAACCAGAAAGTTTAAATATTGTACACGAGTTAAACTTTAATTGTTTGTGTAATTCTAATCTAAGTACTACCCTAAAAAATAGCGCGATGAAGCAAGTTAAGGTAATGTAATAAATTAAATTTGACTTGAATTTTTATGGTGGAAAATTATCTGATGTTATTAGTTTCGAATAGAGATTATTCTCAAATCAATTTGCTCAACTACAGAATTTTAGGCAATCGAATTTAAGGAAGTTTATTTAAAAATCTAAAAATAAATCATTGTATGAGAATCTGTACTTTCAACCATTGTTATTATACCTATAATAATAATTTCATCAGATTTTTTCTTTTAGTTGAAATTGATCATTTCCCAAAAGGTTTAGAGAAAAACATTTTATTCACGTTTTTTCAAAATACCCACACTTTGAATAGTTGGGTCAAAAAAAGCAATTTTGTTTTCTTGGAATCAATTGTCCTCGTAAAGTTTTTTTGTAAAAAATCACAATTTTTTATATTATAGTCATCTTGCAAATATAACAGTTACATTTATTCTGGAATAAACCCAAAAAATAATAATTGGTAAAAACAAAGTAGACCGCAGAACTTCATCAATGTTGAATACAGGATTTATTGTTATTCACATATTTAATCTTTAGGTCTCCCGTACTTATCGATATTTG